ACAAAACACACAAGGTTGGGGATGTAGCTCAGTAGAATAGCACCTGCCTGGCAAGTGCAAGGTTAAGAGTTTGATTTCCAGTACCACAAAAACCCACCAGAAACAAAACATACAACACAGCACAACAAAACACAAAAGCCAGGCTGAGCTTGGAAACTAGTTTGCTCAGCAGAAGCCTTAAATGGAAGCAGCCTTCCTGATCCACAGCCTTGCTCTAGGACATTGTTAAAAGCAGACACTGCTAAGTTGCTGGCACAGGCTGTTGACATCCTCCTAACTGCAAAACAAGCAAGCAGTAATCTGTGGCTCTGAGTTGTGCCTGCTCCTTCTCTTGTCTTTCCCCTTAACTTAATGGGCTCTGTGTGAATTCAGATGGGGACACAAGATTCATTAAGTTACTCATCTCAAGTTTCAGAACACAGTTTTGCTAACTTTTAGGTTGCTATATCTTTTCTCATTTTTAAAAAAAGTTTTGGTATGTGTGTGGTACTGAGGATTGAAGCCATGGCCTTACATTTTAGATTAGACAAGGCCTTGCCACTTGGCAAGCCTTGCTTCTTTTTTTGGGGGTGGGGGGAGCGGTATACTGGGGGTCGAACTCACAACTTTGTGCTTGCCAAGTAGGCGCTTATGCCACTAAACCAAATCCCCAGCCCTAAGCCCTGCTTCTTTTAAAAAGCCTGTTCTCTAATCCCATTTCTCAGGAGACTGAGGCAAGAGGATTGCTTGGGCCAGCCTGAACAGTGCAGCAAGATCCTATCTCAAAAAACCAGACCTTCTCCCAAAAAAATTACCTTTCTTCTTTTTCTTCCCTCAGACTCTTGTGCTCTTGCATGCGCTCTCTCTCTCTCTCTCTCTCTCTCTCTCTCTCTCTCTCTCTCTCTCGCTCTCTCTCTGTCTCTCTCTCTCACACACACACACATACACACACACACACATACATACACACTCTCTCCCCTTACTCTCTTATATCTCCTCTTTCTGTCTGTCTCTGTCTTTCTCTTGTTTCTGTCTCTTTCTCTCTCTCTTTTGCTCTTTCCTCTTCTCTCTCCTGTCTGTCTCTGTGTCTCTTGCTTCCCCTCTACACCTCCCTGGTGCCTGATGGGTACCAAGGTGTGGATCTTGTCTGACCTGGATGCGTAGTTTCAGGACAGGGGATGCTGGCTTTATTGCCACTCAATGTCTAATCCTGATGACTTTTCAAAATGCTTATCCTGTGGGCAGCATCAGAGTATGCTGTCCTTGTCATACTGAGTGTTCTGCTCTCCTCAGTAAACCTAAAACTCCAGTTCCCACAATTTTGTCTGTGCCCTTTTCTCTGCTCTCATGAAGGCCCACATAAATACAGAAAGGAAACTTTTGAGGATAAGAACACTGGAGCTGAAAATACAAAAATATACCTTGAGACAATGCTGAAGGAAGAACTGAGTCATGGTAGTGAAGCCTGACTGTTCCTCTCCTCCTTCCGCTGGCAGCTCTATGATGAGGCTGGCTTCTCTGCCAGAGAGCCTTCCCAGAGTTATGGGCTGGATAAAGAACCCGTAGGAACCAGGTACAGCAGGGAGTCACTGTAATCCCTGCTACCTGAAAGGGTAAGGCAGGAGGATTGCAGTTTTGAGGCCAGCCTGAGCAATTTAGTGAGATCCTGTTGTCCCCTCTAATGCCCTACCACCAAAAAAAAAAAAAAAAAAAAAAAAAAAGAACTGTTGGGGGGTCAGGAGATCTGTTGAAATGTCAGATGTTATGCTCTGCCTCACATGTAGCCAAGAGAGAAGAAAAGATGTTCTTATAACATCTGTGTTCTTGGAACTTAGAATTTTAGGGACTGGGAGAAATTTAGAATTCGTTGTATTCAGACTCTTCATGATATAAGTGAGGAGCTGTGATTTCTTTCATGTCACACAGAGAAAGTACAATTAGAATGCATGTTGCTGGACTGCTAGCTGCACACTATTTTACTTTTTTTTCTCTATACGGTGGGAGTGAACCCAGGGCATGGCACATGTGAGGCAGACACTCTACCACTGGGCTACATCCCTGGCTCCTCAGTTACTTTTACACTTTAATCTGTCACCCAAATGCTATTCAGAAGAGATCTAGATCTTTTACTCACAGCCTAACTTGTGACTACTCAGCCTACTGCCAAAGGAAGGCTAGGGCAGCCTGTAAGTAGGGTTTGATGTCAGAAAAAAACAGCTTTCTTCTCTTTGCCAGAAAGCAGCAGCCTTGGTTGGAGAGCTAGCTCCTTTCGTTGTTCCTTTAGCCCTTGGGCTCAAGGTGAGAATACCACTAGTGACTCAGGAAATGTTCTTGCCAGATCCTTGTGATACTAGAGCTGTATACAGCAGGCAGAGGGAACAGGAAGAAGGGAGATGAGTCCTCTGAGATGGAACAGAATGCCTTTGCATTGGGATGCCTCTCCCTACAAAGGGAGAGCTGGATTCCACTGCTGAGGAGTGGCTTTGTTCTAGCAGAAATAGGAGGATGAGGTGAAGTTGATAAGGAAATGCTCATGGGAGTTCTGCCACCATTGCACTCTTCTGCTATTACACATCAGGAATAGGAATAGATACCCTAACTGCAAGGGGACAAGAACTCTTTAGGAACCCTGGATTTCTAAGAAAGGTAACCAGCTTGATGATCAGAGTCAGAGTGGGGGTGATGTTGTTCTCCTATAGTCTCTGCAGGGCCCCAGCCTCACCTACATAGCTCCAGAGACTTGTGGAGAGTATAGGTTGCCACCTGCTATTATAGTCTGTATCAAGGTGTTTTCCCAAAGCCTCACACTGTCATAGGTTGAACTTTTCAGAGGTGGCAGGTTCTAGGGTGAGGCTTGGATTAAGTGTCCAGTGCTAGGATTAAGGGTGTCCCACCTGGGTTGTGAGTGCTACCTGCCCGTAAGGCCTAGATGAATACAAAGGACAGAAAGAGGGTTGTTGCTGCTTCTTCACTATCTCCTTGCTTGCTGCTTCACTGCTTTTCTGTCTTTTGCCTGCCTGCCCAGCTCTGCCTTGCCATGAACTATTTCTCTTCTTTGACATTCCTCTGTCATGCCACTTTGCCTTGGAGCTAGCCAGTTATTAACTGAAACCTGTACAAACTGTAAGCCAAAATAAACCTTTCCTGCTTTAACTGGGTGTCAAAAACAAGGAAAATAACTAAACACTTACAGTGTCACTTAGTATAGAAGCTGTCCTCTAATCCTAGAGCAGACAGAGGCCTGAGTGTTTAAGAAGCAAAGCCAACTGACCTCAATATTTCCTGCCAGGCTCCATGCTTCATATGAATCCAGAAGTAGGTAGAAACCTCTGGGAGATTGACCAGGTGGTCTTTGGGACCTGTCCCAACTGTAAGCCACTTGAGGTACATGTGTGTCCCTGGTCTGGCCCCAAGTATATATACTGAGGCCAGAATTATGTCTTTCACTAATACAAGCAGTTAGAGCTCTGAAAACTGAAGAATACATCTCTTTTATCTTTTTTTTTTTCCCCTCATGCTCAAGCAGCTGGTCAAAGGCTAATAGACATACTTAAGCTCCAAGGGACAAGTATGTTGGGGAAGCAGGTAAATTAGGCTGTGATGGTAGAATGCATTTTTAAGGGGTGCTGAATTGGACTTGAGGCCTGAAGTGTGGCTATGGGGAAATATGGAAGGCCTTACTTTTCTGAACCCTGTTGGAGGCCTTAAAGGGCTTCCAGGAGCTGCTATTCTGTAGGTCAATGTAAACCCTGCCTCACTGCCAACAGGGTGGAAGAGGACCATCCCCTTGGGATCAGCCTGGCCAACTTCCCTCTGCAAGTTATTCAGTGCACAAGGGCTAGGCTGGGGCCCATTTGGTCAGGATCACACTGGCTTGATGTACATTGGCTTGGAGTGCCCTTCCCATCCTGGCACTGCTGCTCTCAGCTCTTCAAACATGGGGAGTGCTGGAACTGCCAGAAAGAATTGGGTTGGCTCTTGGATAAATGAGTCCATTGGCATTCTGCACACAGCCACAGGTACGCAGTAATTGATGAAGCAAGAAGCTTGGGGAGCAGGAGGGGTGAATCAGTCTGGTTCGCTTTAGTACTAACAAGCTGGCCGCTTGATGAGCAGCAGGGATTGGTACCTGGTATGAGCCTGTGCCTCTCTGGAGATGGAGATACTTAAGTTCATAGGGAAGGTCTGGTAAGAGGGCCTTCTAGAACTGCCTCAGACCAGTTAGGAGCTGCAGGATTCCATGGCTTGATTGGATGTGCGTGTGAAACGGGGAAGCCTCTGATCCATCTGTTCAGGTTCCTGGCTTATAGGGTCCAGCTTTATTCCTGTTCCTGAAAAGTATCTTGGTCTCTGTCTTGCTTTTGAAACCCCTGTTCTATCAGCAGATTAATAAATTTCAATGATCTGAATTGTTTCCTTTTCTCCTCATGGCTGGACTAGGAAGTTCCCCTTGAAGGGGCCTGTTCTGGACATCCAGTGTTGGAATTTAAGTTTGACTCAAGGTATGGTGCGAAAACGTGGATCCTTCAGATCTCCCTGAGTGGGGCCAGGGATTTAGCTCAGTGGCTCAAGTGCCTGCTTGCTAAATGCAAGGTCATAAGTTCGATCCCTGGTACCAAAAACAAAGCAGAGCAACAACAACAACAACAACAAAAGACAACTGAAATTTTTTTAAAAAAAGATCTCCCTGATTTATGGTAGTCTTCAGGTAGGTTAGGGGGCTTCAGTCTCAGGTAGGCTGTGGGCCAGGCTTTGGCTCCAGAGTGCTTAAAAGTGCTCCCTGGGAAAAAAGACAGGTTCTTTTCTTTCTTGTCACACATCTCATCACCGGAGAGCAGTTCCTACTCAGCAGCCTGGTCCAGTGTTGGGTGTGTAGGAGAAGCCTGGGATGGTACATGGAAGGAGCAGGTCTCTCCCTAGGGAGTACAGGACCCCAGGCAGGTCCCAGTGCTATGGTGGCAGCATCATCTAGATATGAGAGTGGTTTGGGGTGTTCTCTAATGCTTGTCCTTGTCTTCTAGCCCTGGCCTAGTGTGTCCAACTTGGCCAAGGACTTCATTGACCGCCTGCTGACCGTGGACCCTGGAGCCCGAATGACTGCACTGCAGGCCTTGAGGCACCCATGGGTGGTGAGCATGGCAGCCTCTTCATCTATGAAGAATCTGCACCGCTCCATCTCCCAGAACCTCCTCAAGCGTGCCTCCTCACGCTGCCAAAGCACCAAGTCTGCCCAGTCTACACGTTCCAGCCGCTCTACACGCTCCAACAAGTCACGCCGCGTGCGTGAGCGTGAACTGCGGGAGCTTAACTTGAGATACCAGCAGCAGTACAATGGCTGAGCCACCAGTTGTGGCACAGGAAACTGTGGTCCCAGCTTGGCTGCACTCTGCTGTGCCATCTGGGCCCAATACCCTTTTTTGAAACAGGCCTTATGGCCAGTAGTATGTGGAGAACACCTGACCCTAGTACCTTCTCATGCCTTCAGCAGCCCCTGTTCACAATGGGCCTGGGTTTGGTATGATGGAGTGGAAGTGGCCCAGGAGACTGAGACTCCCTTATTGGGAAGTCTGGCCTCTGATACTCTTTTTGGTGGGCAGCTGCTCTGTATGAGTTTGGAGAAGGGATGGGTCCTGGCTTTTTCACTGTGTCCCCCATTCTTTGGCTCTTCCTCAGACTAAAGGGGCTTGCAGTGCTGGGTAGTGTCCTGTGGCCAGGGACCTTTGGAACAGTTCTGCCAGTCCTCTTTCATCCACAGAGCCTTCCTCTCTAGCTCCCCTCATTCTTTGGCATTCTAATCCTTAAAATTAGGCTCCAGTGGCAGGCCTAGTTTTGGCTTAGTCAAAGACTGCTGGCCCCAGGTACCTTGACTGGACCAAGAGCTCCTGGTTAGATAGGGGCGTACCCTGTCTTCCATTCCAAATTTTTCTTCCTTTGTGGTGCTGCCAGAAACCCCTCCTGGCCCTAAGACTTGCCAGGACCTCTGGAGGTAGTGCCCTGGTGTAGACTTTAACTCTGGTGGTGTAGGCTCACCTCAGCTCTAGCTGAACTGACTAAGAGGGTTCCTGTTCACCACTCTGTTTCTTTGAGGAGACCTCCATTTGCCTCCTTCTCCTTGGATGCCCATTTTATTCCCCAGTTGCCTCCTCCTTCCCAACTGTGGGGGTTAAAGGGAGCCCCCACTGCTGCTACCTGGGGTTGGGGGCACCTGGGTCAGGGCAGAGGATTCCCCCCTTAGGATCCCATTGTCAGCTCTAGTGCCATCCTTTGGTGCCACCATTGCCTCTTCGCCACTGTGCCTTCCTCTGCAGCTTCATGAAGGCGCCATCTAGTGTCTGGCAAATGAGCAGCCAGAGGTGAGCAATGGATGCCCATATTGTATACTCATAGTCTTCCAAAAGGAAATGAAAAGGAAAGAGCTGCTGCATTGCAGGAGGGTCCTGGACTGCTCAGCCCCCTTTCTCAGCTTTTGTGCACCTCTCCCTGGAACTTAGCCATACTCTGTGACCTGCCTCTGAACCCTGGGTGCCTGGGGTACTGGTCTTGCTGTGAGAACTGCCCTTTTCATCCTGTGCCCATTTCCTTTCATAGCATTAATCTTCCAGTATGGGCCCCACCGAGTCTCAGGCTAGAGGAAGCGCTTGCAGAAGGTTGGGGGGGGGGGTGGTGGGAGGCTGCTTTCCCAGAGGCCTGAGCCAGAACTGTACCAGTAGCTGTTGTGGTATCTCCTTGTCACCACAAACTATGCTGAAGCCCAAGGCCTCTCCCTCAAATAGCTGCTTTCAGAGGGTAAGAATGTGCCAGGGCCAAGCCTCTGCCTTGACTAGGATCCTGCCAGCTGGGAGAGTTTGACCCCCACCTAGCTGCTCCCAGTGAGCAGTCTTGGGCTACTCTCCTCTTTCTGTATGTGCCACCTCCAGTGGGATACCAAACCAAAGAGACCACTCTGTGCCAAGCCGACTGTGCCTTATATGCCCCCTCCTCTGTCCCTACTGTTCTGGGCAAGAGGGAATAAAAAGGCCATGCCCTATAGCCTCAGAATTTCCTGCCACTTTCTGAAATATCTCTAGGGTCCTGAAGTCCCAGGGAATTATTTCCTCTCTTGCCCAGGTTAAGCCTGGTCCTGAGAGTAGGATAAGGGATTTTGGAGTCTTGGGCCTTCATGGACCCTGGATAGAAAATGTGCAGTTATTTATTTTGTGTACTCAGTTTGTAAATGTATCCTCTGTATTCAATAAACAGGGTGCCCTCCCCAGGGAAGGCTGCCCATTGATTCTGACAGCCCTAGTTGTGTGCTGTGAACCAGAGGTGTGCCCCAGAGGAGTAGGGATGGGAGCCCCATCTGGGATGGCTACTGTAGGAACATCCTGATCTCTCAGCCCCTTCTGTGTTAAAAGATAAAAGTTCAAGTAGGGGGTGGGTAGTATCTCCAAGAGCTTCTTCTTTTCCCTGAGCCAGGATAAAGATGGGTACTCAAGAGGATAGAGGTTAGGATCTTTATTAAGTTGAGATGGGGGAGAAGGCCTGTGATAGGTTCAGCTGGAGGCTATGACCTGGTTGATCCAAGTGTTGAACTTGCTAACATGAGTGTATACAGCAGGTGCTCACACATTGCAATTACTGGTGCCTCAGGACACAATACCAATAAACACCCATGTGCTCCCTTTCTGGCAGACAAGAGGGCCTCCAAAGTCACCCTGACGGTAGGAGAGAGGAAAGGTCAGTATGGCGGGTTAGGGGGGATGTGCTGTGGGCCAATGCAGAGGAAAGGGTACCAGTGTTCACCTGGCACGAGGAAACACCTGAGGCACCTGCACAGACCATGGAGTCAGTGATACTTGAGCCCCAATACTGTTGGCACTGATTCACAGTCCAGGAACAGAACTACCTGCTGCAGACGTGCCAGTGTCACATTGCCTGTGGGCCAGGAAAAGATAGACTGGCCCAGGGGCTGGGGATTTAGCTCAGCGGCATAAGCGCCTGCCTTACAAGCAGGCAGTCGTGAGTTCAATCCCCGGTACCTATAAAAAAGGAAAAAAAAAAAAAAAAAAAGATTGGCCCAGAGCTTCTCATCCTGTCACCTAGCTCAGGCCCGAGTTCCTACCCACACCACTGAGGTAACACCACGGAGGTAGCTCCAGCCGGTGATGACACACTTGAGGCCGTCATTTCCTCAAAGGCAGACAGGTGAGATGTGTGTTGTATACTGGGCTAGTGAGGCCAGTTTTAGGAACTTCACATCATTGTTCAGAGTGGTGGATTTCCAGTTTGGGTGTGAAATGCCTAGGGAGCCAGAAAAGGGATAATGTAGGACCAAGGTGGGAATAGGCACCCAGAGCTGGTGCTGAGGTGGCTGGAGTGGGGCATGCCTGAATTGCTATGTCCAGCACAAATTCCCACATATGCAGCCAGGCACGCACCTTTGAGATGGCCAGCACCTACACAGGCTTGACCTTGGATTGATAGATTAATACCCGTCCAGGACAAGAGTGGCTGCCAGGACTACAGGGAGAGAGGCATCGAACAGCCACAGAGAAGAAGGGAGGATGCAAGGAAAGGAGGTGGGAAGTGGTGGGCTGAGCAGGGCAAGTAGCATGCATACTCACCTACCCTCACAGTGGGCAACAGTTACCACCCTGTTTAGGCTAATAAGAGAGCCACCACAGAAGTGGAAGCCATTTCTCTCCTTGTGTCACTTGCCAGGGCCAGGAGCCTGATCGTGCATGCTCCCCATTGACAATTATCTGGCTGAAACTCAGGGCTGGACTGATGGCAGGAATGCTGCAGCCTGGCCATTATGCTAATGAAGATCCACACCCCAGCCAACTTCTCTCCACCTCCTCCTGAGTGCCCCTAGCAGGATCCAAACTGAGTACTTCAACTCTACTAAGCACTTAATGGGCCTCCACAGCTGGCAGTTACCACATCCAGCCTACTCCCCAGGTCCTATCCATCCTCCCACATCTCTCCAACCTAGTCCCTTTGGTTCTCCAGCTCTGCCCCTGCCCTTCAACACAGACCACTTTTCTGTTTGGCTGCTGTGATAGTGTTCTCCCTACCCCTTCATCCCTGAACAATTCATACCCCTCATGAGCCAGAGGGCTGGCTGTTCCTAAACTGTGCACTTAACTTGCTTCCTAATCTTTCCTGGGTCTTGCTCAAGGTCCTGTCTTTCTTGTGAGACACGCCCCTGTCTACCTTTTCGTTAGCCCCGTAGGCCTCTTCCTGCTCCTCTGCCCTGGTATATCCTTTTTTCCCCCTTTTCTCATGCTGTTTACCTACTTCCCTTCCAGCCAAATTGGTCTCTTTGATTCCCTGGAGTGGTGTTGGGAGCCAAGTCCCCCTGTTCATTCAGGGCTGATTTTGGCCTACTTACCCCAAGAGGAGCCTAGGAGAACCAGGCTAAAGGTCAGCTGAGCAGTAGCACTATGTCAAGTACAAAGGTGAGCACTGAGCCTAGCTTGCTTTATGGGCATCCTTGTCCTTGAGGCAAAGTCCCAGGCCAGCTGTGTAGGCTTAGCCCCTTCCCATGCTTCACTTAGGAGTCTCTTTATGCCAGGGTCCCCTGATCTAGGTCTGGACTTAACCGATAGCCCAGGTGTCAGGCTCTCATCTCCATTACCCCTAAATCCTGGCCTTTGGTTCCCTGAAGCACCTCACACCCTAAGTGTTGGGTACTGAGTATCAAGGATATAGTTAAATTAGATCTATAACGTCAACCTGGTGGCTGTGAGGCTATCAGGCATACTGGGCTCTTAGAAAGTGCTGTTTAGAATCCAAGAGTGGCAGAGGGAACAGCCAGTTGCACCCAGCTCTTCTGTGGAAAGCTGGAGGCTAGAGATTCCGAAGGCAGGTTGCTAATCCTAACAGATACCATCTCAGAAATGCATGAATTTGGAACAGAAGTTTTCTGAGATGGTTCTGTCATGGAGGAGTGACCGTTCTGTCATGTAGTAGGTAGGACACAAACCCTCCTGGCTGGCTCTGAAGCCAACATTCTTGCTAAATATGAGCTGAGTCTTTAGTGACTAGTGACTGAGTCCTTAGTGACTTAGACCCTGGGCTGAGGTCAAGGGTTGAAGGTGAGGGCCATTAAACTGAACAGCTTGTCCTAGTGTCTACAACCCACTCATTCCATTCATTACTGAGATCCAGGCTAAGCTTGAACTTGAAGACATGCTACAAAATTGCAGGTGAGTTGGCTTTGGTTTTCTGCCAAGGATGTGAAGGCTTTACTCAAAAACACCTTAATCCAAGTTCGGCATGGTGGTACATGCCTGTAATTCCAGCATTGGGGTAGCAGAGGCAGGATTGCTGCATGTTTGAGGCCAACCTTGGCTATATACCAAGTTCAAGGTCAGCTTGTCCTACAAAGTGAGACCCTGTCTCAAAACAACGAAACACCCTAATCCACAAGTGAGAGATGAGCAAATGGTGGATAGAGGCATGGATGATAGATGATCACACATAATTAGGGGTCCAGGATTATCCAGCCTGGAATAGACCCTCCCTAAAGGAAGGCAGACTCAACAGTTCTGAAGCCCCAGTGGAGTTCAGTCACTGCTCATTAAGTTTCTTAGATGTGTCATATCTCCCCATGAGTCCTACAATCTTTGTCAGCAAAACAGAAGTTGATTTGCCTACTTACAGCCCAGCATGTACAGACAAAGCCCAGCTTTGCATAAAGGGCTCAGGTGGGCTTGGACCTCTGAGTGTCACAGGAAAAGGTATGGGAGTATGGAGCACTTGGTGGGAATTTGCCCTTGGAGCTAGAGAGCAACTCCTCTATCAGCACATTAACCGTCAGGGCAGGCCTGACTGAGATGTGTGGACTTCATTCTGAGTCACTAATGACCCTGGGAAAGGTCTGAGACTGCTGTGCAGGGAGGCCTGTGGGATTTACAACAGTGGACTAGAGAGAAAGAGCAAGGAAGGGGAATGGTGGGGGAAGCTGATGTGAAGTAGGTGAAGTTTTTGAGGGGAGACAGGTTGAAAGCTTTCTACCTTGACCCTATCATGCTGGATTCTGGAAGTGACTGGTGATTAGGCCAGATGATTTATCCACGGAACCCTGCTGGCAACCTGCCCCACTCCATCCAAGAATAAATCAGCCATCTGTTTAGGTGTTTGTATTTTCCCAGGTTGGCTCCACTCATTTAGGGCTCTAAAACCGCAGGTGACTTCACTCCACCTCCATGGCCTGCACAGTTTCCTCCAGGAGCTCCAGGTTAAGTGGCCGCACCGTCTGAGTCAGAATTGCTGTGGTTCCAGGTGTCAATCGGTAATGACCAAGCCTGGGAAAGGGGAGGGGCAGCCTCTCAGCATGTGTCTTGTCTTCTTGTAGCCCTCTATTTGTGTCCCTAGCCATTGCTGTGGTTTCCCCTTTCCCACCTTTTCATGGGCTCTACAGGTGAGCTCAGTGCTCGCAGCAGCTTGGTGCCTGTTGCAGTGATCACACATGCATCTACATTGCCCCCAGAACCCAGGTCTCCCAGGATCCCTGCGGTGATGGCTTCCACCAGCAGCCCCTGCGCAGCCTCCAGCTGTAATGACAGATGTGTGTGTGAGGTGTAATGGACCCTCTGGTGCTACCTCAGGCTCCAGTTTGGGACTTTTGTTAATCTAGAAGCCCAGATTTGACCACTTGTGCATGCTCAGCCCCTTCTCTGTCCCTGCACCCCAACTTTCCACCCCAGGTCTCTGCCTTTTCCCCAAGACTCTATGTTCCCTGCCCTCACAGATTTAGTCAGCTACACTAAGGCTCCTCCTCCAGCAATCTGCCCACCCACCAAGCCTTGTCTTGGCCCTTGGCCTGATTCATTGGATTTCTGTGGGTCTTGGCTGCCTATGAAGGCATAGTTACCCATGTTCTTCTTTTTCTTTTCTTTCTGTTCTCTGCCACCTTTTAAATTTTCTTTCTTTTTTTTTTTTTTTTTTTTTTTTTTTTTTTGAGACAGGGCTCAAGCTGATCTTGAACTCACTCTGTAGCCCAGGCTGGTCTCGAACTTGTAGTGATGCTCCTGCCTCGGCCTCTTGAGTGCTGGGCTTTTAGGTGTTTACTACCATGCCAGCTGATGAGCTCATCCCTCTCCTAAGTCTAGACTTAAGGCCTTATTTAAGACACCACCACACTTTTCTTTTGTTGGCTCCTAATGGTCCTTTGTGACTTAAATATCCATCTGGAAGCTTTGGTACTGTGAAAAGCACACTCCTCCAACTTCCCACCATTCAGGCTCTACTCAGTTGTTTCCTTCGCCTTCTCCTCCCAGAAGCTTTTCTTGCCTACCATACCCAGCTCCTGGGTACATTTCCCACCAGTGACCATGTAGTAGGGGACAGAAATTGCTCACTGTCATGTTCGGCTGGAACCGGTCCTCCAGTACTGCCAGGGCTGCGTCCTGCCCAGATCCTGCAGGCAGGAGGGACATCTGAGGTCAGCCGTGGCTGCGTTGTCTGCGGGACAAACGTGAGGCTAAGGGTTGCTGGGCGGGGTTTGCGAAGAGGCGGAAGTACTCACCCAGGGCCACGAAAGGCAGCCGGCTGTAGGAGCCGTGGGGATGTACGTTGTACAGCTGCGGTCCGTTCAAATCTATGCCACCCACGATTAGGGACGCCCCCACATGGCCTTGGTACCTGTTTGCAGGGGGCGTGGTTGTCTGAAAGCGGGACTCCCCCCAGCCCCCGCCCCTGGACTCGAGCCCCGCCCCTCCCCCTGGCTTGATAGCCCGCGATGACATCAGCCCTTCCTGTTGTTTAGCTTCTTTTGAGCCGGCCTCTTCCTGTTTCCTCTGTTCCTCCTCTTAGCTCCTTCCCCGCAATTCCCCCCGGGTCGTTTTAGTCCGGCCATCGCACCGGAAGAGCGTCTGGCGTAGGATGCGAGTGACTGTGGCCACGCGAGGCTCGCGGCCCGTGGACAAGGCGTGTAGCTCCATGTTAGACGCCACCATCCGCGTGCTCATCTCGGCATCCGCGGCTACTCCAGCCCCACAGCAGCTGAGGGCGGAGAGAAAATGGGTGTGGGCAAGGCTAGGAAACATGGAGTGGAAGCGAGGGGGCAGTTCTTTCTGGCGTGCCGAAACTGGGTTTGGGAATTCTCACTAAATTTTGGGGGCGATGTAGTGAATCTTCTCACAGTTCTTGTCTGCTACAACCGTATCATTAGTGGCCCGCGTATCTGCTCCCAGGATGACACCGTCCTGTGAACGGGGAGAGGCCGCTCAGTGCTTATCCTTTGCTCCCACCGTGGCTATTCCGCTAATCCCCCAGTACCAGGCTCCTGCTCACTCGGAACACCAGGCCCGCGATGGTGGTCCCGGTCTTGCGTGCATGAGGAACACGGAGCCCCGGAAAGGCGTATTCTAAGGATGCATTTCTGGAAAGGGAGGAAGGGTGCCCAGGTTTTGGTTCGGCTTCCAGACCTGCTGTCTGATTTTCCAACCATCCAACCCGCCCATACCTCCCTAATGTGGGCAAGTTTGCAATCCAAATCTATCTCCAGCCGAAAAATGAAGGTCCACAGCATAGCAGGGCAGATTGGAAGCCCCGCCCCACCCCACCCGCGTGCAATTCTTGAAGCAGAAGTCCCCTCGGGGTGCCCTTGCAACCTACCTCTGGCAATTCTCAAAACAAAAGCCCCCTCGGGCTGCCAGAGCAGGCTTCAGCATTTCAGGCAGGGCTGATTGCAGTGGGGCCGATGGGTCAGTCGATGGGCCGATGAGCAGAGCCAGCAGAAAGGCCTCAGACTCAGTCTCAGCCTCAGCTTCTGTGGGGCTGCACTGCTGAAACAATTTCCTGCTTTCGCTTTTGCATCTACCCTCCTCCAGAAACCCTTTCCTCAGTCCTCTTTCACTTTCACCTTTACCCATGGTCCTAGGTAGCTTGGAAAGGGGACAAGGTCCTTTGCCAAGCCCTTCACACCATCCCCTCCCTGACTCCTCTATATGGAACAGAGGGACTATTCTGGCCATCGTTAAACTCCCATCCCCTTCCAGCCTGACAGCCTCAGCTCTTACCCTAATCACTCTCTAACTTCAAGTGCCAGTGTACTAAAGTTGTGGAGCTTTTGGCCGAGTCTCTGTTGGCATTGTTACTGCCTCCCAACGTATTAGGCATGGTTGAATTTTGTCCTTTGTCACTCTTCTAATTCCTGCCTGTTTTGCCTTTGCCTCCTGGAAACCTCAGATACTAAGGCTCAATCCTCAGCCAGTGATACAGGTCTTCCCATTTTCCCTGTCCCCTTCTCCAGGCAGCACTGTGGGCTGGAGGTATAGCTCAGTGGTAGAACACTCAGCCTAGAATTACAGTATTGGTATGTGCTGTCAGGTCCCAGTCACTTCCCCAGATTCTAAACTTTTTTTGAAACTAGGTCTAGCTGTATAGTCCAGGCTGGCCTCAAACTCATGGTGATCCACCTGCCTTACCCTCTTGAGTGCTGGGATTATAGGCATACACCACCCCTGGCCAGCTAAACTTTTGATTTTTTTGGTGTTGGCGATATACTACAGGACTTTGTGCTCTATCATTGAGTTATAACCCCAGCCTCCAGATTCTAAACTCTTGTGCATCTGCTACCCACCCAGTACTTTTCAAAGGGCCATCAGGAGCTGAGGCAAACAGATTGTCCTTTGTGTCTTCCAACCTACAGCTGTGGGTACACCCAACTCCAGTCCCTACACCCTGCACAGAAGCAGGTACAAGACAGGCTCCCTGAACAGTTCAACCAGCAGAATAGGAAGACACACCTCAGGGGCCAGTGCAAGCACAGCCAATACTGCCTCATGCTCCTTTGAGCCCTAGGCCTAATCCTGGATGGGACCCCAATAATACCTCCCTCTTAACCCAAAACACACAAGGCTTATAGCAGCAAAGATCTTTTATTCAGGGGGCAGGAGCCCTGGGCTGGCAGTCGGATATGCAGGGGTGTTATGGCGATAAGCACCCAGTAGGATGGTATTGATGTGCTCCAGTGTCTGGTTGCTGAACACCATATTGAGATGCTGTGTCCCATTCAGGGGCAGCAAATGTACAGGCTGGGGTTGACGGCCCTGCCAGAGGCCACAGAGCTCAGTGCTGCGAGTGGCCACTGTGTCATCACCATCTTCATAGAGCACATTTACAGGGTCCGAGTAGGGGAAGCCATGATCATAGATATAGGTGCTGGGGGTGGACAGGCCCACACCATAAAGACAGTATACTTCCACGCCAGGTGCTGGGAGGCCTGCCAGCAGGTCACGTGACTGTAGCCACATGTACCAGCCATCCTCAAAATGCAGGTCTCCAAAGAAGCGCTGGAAGTCACGGCCTGTATAGTTGAAGCTTGGTGTGGAAATGAACACGTGGCCCTCAGGCCACACCCGGTAGGAAGGAAACATCCAGGGGGAAGTCGTTGTTATGCGCTGCTCCTCTCTTAGCTTGATGCTGGACATGAGCGGGATGCCCTGGTTGTTACCTGTGAACATGGAGCAAGACAGGACAGGAAGCTGGGCCTGGCTACTTCTGGTATACAAGCTGTACCCAGTCTAAGCTCAGTGAGATACTCAAGGTTGTCCCTATCCTGATTGGAACTGAAAACCAGAGCAGGCTTGGTTTCCAGCAAGTGCTCAATGTATGCTTATTAAATGAGACCATGACGGTATTTCTGTAAGACAGAGATGTAGGGTCTCAAATGGGGGCAATGTTTCCTAAGGATGGACTGTGTGAATGGTATGGGGGTTGCTGGCTGTTCTTTCTCAGGCTGTGTGTGAGCCTATGGTGCATAGGCGCCAGAGGAGTGTTTTGGGAAAGATTAAACAAGATGATCTACCATTTACTGGTGTTTTTATCTCAACTAATTGTGAGCTTCTCAGGGGAAGGCCAAGCCTAGCTGGGTATACTGAGTTCTCAATAGGTGGGATCTGTGTCTGCTGGGTCCCTAGTCTAACTCTTGAGGAAGGGCAGGTTGGGTTCCTGGGTCTAGACTTGGCTGTGGAGGATCTGTTCTCAATAAGAGAAATGCTGCCTGGTGTGGTAGTGCACCACACCTGTAATCTCAGCACTTGGGAGGCTGAGGCAGGAGGACTGCTGTGAATCTGAGGCCAGCCTGGGCTGCAAAGTGAGTTCAAGGCCAGCCTGAATGCAGAGCAAGACTCTGTCTAAAAAAAAAAAAAAAAAAAAAAAAAAAAATTCCTGGGCACAGGCTTCTAGGAGTAGGAGAAAGCTGAAAATGACCAGACCTGGGACCACAAGGAACAAACTGTGTTGAGTCAAGAGTGCTGGGGTTCACTTCCTCTGTTTATTTTCTCTTTGTCATTACTACACAGACTTTGGGAGGAACCATGTAATGGTTCTGCCAAAGCTACTGCTCTGGGTAATTAATGACAGCAGGCATACCCCAGGAAAGGTAGATAATACCCCCAGAAGGCAGCTCCATGGTCTGCTTCATTCCATTCCTCCATGGCTCACAGGATGAAGGTGATCAGAGGCCCTCTTACCTGTGGCCAAGACCAGCATTGGCTTGGTAGAGCCACCCCACGGAGCCCCAAGCGAGATGAAACCATCAATGAAGTGGTCTTTCCATGACTGGGGCTGACGCAGCAAAAAATAGAGCAAGTGCAGGCAGCCAAGGCTGTGCCCAATGAGGAAGACGGGCTTCCCATAAGCAGCATGCATCTCTTCCACCAGCCTGGCCAGCTTCTGGTAGTACTCCTCCTGCTGGCCTGCAGGGGCATGAATGATGAGTCAGGGCAACAAGGGTCAGTGGCCACTTGCCCTACCCCAGGCCCATCACCTGTAGACACTCACCGGGCTCTAAGCGCCAGTCATAGGGAGCAGCCCGCACTGTCTCATCTCGCACATATCCATTGTTCACCAGATTCTGTACCAGGGTGTGCATGTAACCTATAGGGAAGCAGTGGCAATGAGGTTGTAACACCTGTGGGCCAACTCTGCTGGCACATCATAGCCCAGAGCCCCTGGCCTTTCTCCCAGGACACACACCTGCTAGTTTGTTGCTGTCCAAGTACTCAACAGAGTAGGTCTTGCCAAAGCCAGGAACACGGATCTCTACACCAGGGGCATTGGACACACGTCCAGAGCTACGGTTGTAGACAACCCTGGGGGCAGTAGGAAATTCAGCAGCCAGTAGCCAAGGGGCAATGTGAGGCTGGGAAGAGCAAATAGCACATACCTGGTGTTATCAATCCAGCAGTCCACCCCAAAGGGCAGAAACATATTGAGATCCAGCCAGATGGTAAAGAAGTCCTCTGTCTTGCGGTAGCACATCCAGTTCACCACATCCGGTTTATCCAGCTTGGCTTCTAGCTGATTCCCCAGGCAGCCAGGCACTGTGGGCACCGGCTCTCACTCTGGACTCCTTGGATTCCCTCCCATGACCCTCAGATTCCAGGTGCTAACAACATGTATCCTCTCCTGATCACACCCCCTTCCTCCCCACCTATTTTCTCTAGTCCCGACCCTACTAGCCTAAAGCCCAAGCTCCCCGTAGGCAGGGAAGGTGCAGGAGCCAAGGCCACTGACCACTGCCCCCACAAAGCAAACATTCAGCCTAGCTTTCTATTATTGCCAAAGTCCAAGGTATGGAGGTGTGGGGGCTGGGCTTAGAGCAGGGGGCAGGCCTTAATGGGCTTCTCCTGCTTTCTGGCCCTGGGCTGGGCATCTTGTAGAGGCCAAGGAAGAAATGGTGGAGATTGATCCAGAGTCCAGTATGGTCACTGCTGACTACAGCTTGTAATGTCCTGACCAAGGCATCAGGTACCCCCCGACCCTGTCTTCCCCCCCTGGAGTAGGCAATCCAGAGATACAGAAAAGTATGGTAAAGGAAAGGTTAATTTCTCTGCAGGACAGTCTTTAGTTCCTTCCCATAGTGAGGTGAGGCAGGCAACAGGGCTAATGCAGGAGGAGAAGGAGGGCCTCAGCAGTGTCTGCTGCCAGGGGCTGGGGCCCCAGGCTCCCCAAGGTCTGGGCTGGTGCATCAGGGACCTGGTGGGGGCTTACCGAGGATGACGGGCCGTGTGTGGTTACTGAGCTCAGCCTTGGGCGTGGTGTGCGGGGGGAACAGCACATTGAGGAGCCAGAAGGGGGCAGCAGGGGGGAACAGCAGCAGCAGCAGCAACAGCAGCACCCACTGCCATGGGGAGCCGGGCGGCCCCATTCCAGCCCAGTGCCTGCTCCAGATGAAGCAGCCTTGGGCTGGCCTTATCTGGTATGGGAGTGGGAGGGCCCCCAGGGATAGTGGGAGGGGCAGCTTGGCCAATGGGGGTGGCCAGAGACTGTCACTGCCAGGAAGGGGCACAGCCTCAGGGAGCCAGCTCTGGGCCTGGGTTCAGTTTTGCCTTTCTCCCTTGGTGCCAGAGGAAACAGCCGGGGCAGCAGGAAGCCCAGAAGTACACAATGTTTTATTGAAAAAAGTCAGGTCTCAGCTCAGCCAGCTCCATTCTGCTTGGCTTGGTGGGAGTCCCTGCCCACAGTGGCCTGAGCCAGGTCTTCCTGCAGGCAGGCTGGACTTGATCCCCGCCCTTGCTGCCTTTCCCTCCTCTCTGATGGTGACATACAAACAATAAATATACAATAAATAGTGTCCTGGGGGCGGGCTGGGCCTTCAAACTCCATGTGAGTTCCTACCAGACTTCTCTAGCAGGGTAGGTATACTGGGGTACTGGAGGGGTAAGTCCCCAAACCTCCCAGGGTCCTATAGGACCTGTAATCCATCTCCATTGCCAGGCCCAGGCCTGGTTTTCCAGGAGACCTAGCAAAGCTGGTCCAAGGAAACGCTGGGCAAAGCAGAGCTGGCAAGTAGGTGATAGGGGGAAGAGGGCTATTGCCCTGGACACCCCGACTCCAGGTCACGAGACCATACTGGGCTCAGGAGTAGATGGTGATGACTTCTCGGCCACCACCACGCACCAACAACACCCGCTCAAGGCCCTCAGTCAGCACCTCAAGGAACTCCATGTCTGCAGGGGATCAGGTCAAGGAGCCAATGGCAGATCCCAGCGGAGCCCAGGGCCACCTCAGGCCACCCCCACCCAGGAGGAGCCAGGGAACTTGACGTGACCTCAAGATGTCCATCTCCCACTGTCTGCCTCTTCAAAAAGGGATACAATTCTCATCACCCTCGCTGTTTTTGGGTGGGCCAGGCATGTTCAGTAGGACCAGGCGGGCATCATGGGAGCGTGTGACAATGACTTCATTGAGCTTTACAGCAGTGTGCATGCGTCGCACATTGGACTGGTCCCTGTAGGTAATGCATCTGATCACTGGGAGTCATCTAGCAAGGAAGACTCCCACACAGCTTGTCTGGCCCCTCCCTGCCTCCACCTGAGACTCCAGTATAGCTGAGTTTGATTTTGCAGCACTTACGGCTTAATGTGCACCAGCTCCCGGAAGTTGTCAGGAGCATGGCTGGGGTCCCAGGGCTCAGTCATGTGCTTGTCCCGGGTCCATGTCATCTGGATCTTGTCAGCCCCTGCTGCTGACTCGTCCTCTTCATCTGAGTACAGGCTTTCCAGACGCAGAGCCGAGTGCCTATCCTTGACAAGCTGTGCCTGAGGACAACCAGGGGAGGTAGCCTTGGGCCCCTGGGAAAAGGGGGTCCTGGCTGGTGGGTCATAACCCCTCTGCCTCCAGGAGGGTAAGTTATGACCCCTCTGGCTCAGGAGGGTCAGTCAGTTTCTTCCTTTTCCCTCCTTCTCTTTTTCTCAATCTTAGTCTCAACCCCAATCTCTCAATCTCTCCTCTCTCCCAGCTTCAGCCTCTCAAGAGTGCTAAAATTATGGGTGTGCACCACAATGAGGCTTGGGAGGAGTCTCTCTGATGCCTTCACCTGATAGTGTCTCCAAAGGTCTGACTGTGCCACCCGCCCTCAACCCACACCAAAGCAGCCACCTCTCGATCCCGCTCGGTCTTGGTCAGCCGCATCTGCCGCAGCATCTGGGACCGCTGTTCCATCATCAGGGTGCGCTCATAGGTGTAGGCAGAGATGTCACTGTTATGCTGGGGAGGGGGGAAGCTGTGAGGATTAGACTGTGTGGTCCTCTACATCCTCAGGGCCAGGCTGGGGAAGGGCAACTCACCATCTCCACTACCTCCACCTCAGCCTCAAGGCGGAGGTGGTAGAGGAAGATGGCCAGATCCTTCTTCATCTGAATGCTGTTGTCATCCATCTGGGCCACTGTGAAGATGCGCATTCGGCACTTCCTCCAAACCTGTGGCAAAGGAGTGAGGGGCTGGTTCACACACCCCTGGCGCTCCATGAGCCCAGCTGCTCCCACCATGCTCACTTGCCCAGCCCACCTTATGCTGGCGCAAGAGGAAGGGCAAAAGCATCAGCATGCCACCATCATGCACGATCCACCACACATCGATGTGGCCCTCCAGGTAGCGCTCATGGTTGCTGGGGTAGAAGGCGATGTTCTTGGGCACAAGGAGGGCCAGATGGGCAGCTGTCGTGCAACGCACAGTGTCTGGGGAGGAGGGACATAGGTGACCACCAGCCTGTAGCCTTTTGGCTTCTGCCATCTCACATGACCCTGGCCCCTGGTCCACCTGGCCCACCTGGCCCAGCCCCTCACACACCAATGAAGGTTTTCCAGGCACGGGGGTCCTCACTCTGTCGCCAGCCATAAGGCCAGCCCAGCACCACGGAGTTATGCCGCATGCCGCCTAGGCCGCAAGACTGGATGAGGTGAGCCAGTCCCTCACGCACCTTGCTGGCCACCACTACCTGGCAGAAGCCTTTCACTTTCTCAATCTCCATCATGTTCTTGATTGTCTGTGAGGAACACACTAGCATCAGAAAGCAAGGCCACCAGCAACCCCGTCGAGATCCTTCCCAGGGTCCTAGGGCAGTTAACTACTTAGGGGTGGGGGAGGCCTAAACAAGCTGCTTATCCAGAAGCCATGTTCTCAAGATGGGGCAGCTCTAACTCCTTGTTCCAGCTGAAAGGTGGCAAAGTGTTGCCCACCTGGATGGCCACGTGCCCTCCCTATGTGCCAGCTGCAGCTCAGATACCACTGGTCTGGCTCAGTTCCTCCCAAACCCTAGGAGTCACCTGCTCAGCAGCTTGGGCCTCGCCATAGCTCTCCAAGAAACTGCCCTGGATGACGGAGCCAACAATTGTTAGGCCCTTGCCGGCCTTAAGCTGGGAGGCAAAGGTGAGGAGCCGTGGGTACTTCACGTGCAGATCTTCATCGAGCTTCAGCAGTACCAACAGCTGAGGCCTGCAGTGGGGAGGCAGACTGAGACCGGGCTTCAGGAAGTCCTCCCTCTTCTTCCCTTCTCCGAACATGGCCCCCATAGGTTTAGGTAACATGAACCTAAGGGCTTGGCAGGTCGGAGGGTGTCCCTGGCAATCTAGGACACATAACCTGACTAGAGAAGTGAAGCCAGCACCTCCTGACCCTCCCATCCTTACAGTGCTCCCTAAGGACCCTGGGATGGCTCTTTGTCAGCTGGAACTCACCTCCAGTTCTTGGTGTGAGGAGGCCCCTCCTCCAGCCGTAACAGCGCATAGCGGGCAGCACTCAGCGACAGCCCTCGGATACCGTCACCCCACTCCTTCTCAGCCCTATAGATACCACCATAAGCTGGTGAACCCTGGTTCCATCCAGAAATTTCTTTTTTCCTTTTTTGTTTTGTGGTACTGGGGACTGAACCCAGGGTCTCACACATATCACCTCTTTTTTTTTTTTTTAATCGGTACCAGGGGTTGAACACCAGACTGCACGGTTGCAAGGCAAGCACTTATGCCACTGAGCTAAATCCCTGGCCCAAGGGCCTCACACATGTTAAGCAAGTGCTTTACTGCTGAACCAGACATTCTAGAGATTTCTGTTTGTGTGAATGTGAGATGGAAGAGGGCCAGGCCCTCACAGCCTTCCAGCCCTACCACCAGGGTATACAGCAAAGGTGGCCCCGCGCCTTCCACAAGCCAACATTCAGACTGTCTGCTTAGTGCTCTAGGCGCTGTTGATGTAGGCCAGGTAGCAGCCCTTCACTCACCCTTGGTACTCGATGTACTTGTAGATCATGCCTGCAATGAGCATGGCAACGAGAGCATAGTACCAGGAGGACATGAACATAAGGGCCAGGCAAAGGCTCATGCCCAGGAAGGAGAGCGCCCTAGGCCAGAGTGAGGGAAAAGAAGGAATTAGAGCAAATTAGGAATTAGAGGGAGGCCCCAGAACATAGCCCATCCTATGTCCAAGAGGCCCTGTCAGGCTGCAGGTCACAAACTGGGTACAAGAAATAGTTTAAAACATGCAGCGTTACTATCTCCCTCTTCATAGCATTTCATGAAGATAACTGCTGCCCTGGAAACTCAAACCTCATCAGAATGGGACTCCTGCACTCTCCAGTATCTCCCACGTCAAGGAACTTGGCTCATGGGTTCACTGGTACTTACCAGTGATAATATTTGAACCGAGGCCGCCAGTTTGGGGTCCTCAGGAGTGTCTGCACAGCACAGGCCAGGTTCACAAAGAGGTAACACATCAGAAAGAACCTGTAGCACAAGGAAGTAGTTGGTGTACAGCGGCTTCCTTGTTACTTTCAGGTACCTCCTATCAGGCTGGCCCTGGACCAGAAACGGCCACACCACGCTCCCATCCTGCATGGGTTCGGTCGCATTTTCTCAGCCTCACAGCACCCACTGCCACGGCCTGATGCAGGTAGAGTTATTCTGGAGGTGTCCTCACAGCCAAGTGAAAAAGAAAATTGGCAAGTGTCCACCAGCAGAGGGGGAGGGAGGGGATGCAAGCCAGGGAATACATGAATAGGATGGTACTGAGGAATTTTGGGGAGTACCTAGTGGAAATAGTTAAGACAATATTCAGGCCTCTGATCTAGACAACTGTGGGGGCTGTCATGCATGTGGGCAAGAGGAGCAGGTCAAGAAGATGACAAGGAGTTGGGCATAGTGGTGCATGCCTGTCATCCCAGCATTTGGGAGACTGAGGCAGGAGTACCTCAAGTGCAAGGCCAATCTGAGCTACACAGTGAGTTCAAGGCCAGCCTGGGCTACACAGCGAGATTGTCTCAAAAAAAAAAAAAAAAAAAAAAAAAAAAAGTTATCAAGGAAGATGAGGCAGCCAGGTATGGTGATGCATGCCCTGGGAGACTGAGGCAAAAGGATGGCAAGTTCTAGCCCAATCTATGCAACTTAGTGATTTAGTGATCTTGTCTCAAAATAAAATACAGGAGGAGGTAGCTCAGTGTAAAGGCCCTGGATTCAATCACCAGGAACTGCAAAAATAAGATGTCAAGAACCAAGTGAAAGCACTGAGTTAGAGACACACAGGCACTGCAGTGGATGCTGGAATCAGAGAAGGGTAAAGCCCACTGCATGAGCCTCCCTGGGAAGGCAGCCAAGGAGCAGGGGGTGAGAGGTGGGGTATCGACTTCTACGGTCAGCTGACAAAGAGGAAGGGCAACAAGAAGACAGGAGGGCTGCCACGAGAGGTAATTCTCATCAGCAGTTGCCCAGAAAGTTTCATGATAAATGCTGAACTCTATCCTCTGGCTTGGGCAAGAGGGGTCACTACTCAAGATGACTGTGGCAAGAACAGTTGCAGGTGTGCACTGAGAGGACAAGAGTCCAGACATGGCATGCCTGGCATGAGCAGACCCCTGCCAGGTCTATAGAATGAGCAGGCAGTGAGGGGTAGGTCTTTCATAACTACACAAGCAAAGACCACTGCAATGGAGCAGAGTATGCAAGGACCCCAACACAGGCAGGGCCAAACACAGGATCTGAAAAAATTCTGCCTCAGGGGACCCCTGGGAATTGCCCCTGCTGACTACCACCTGCCAGGCACTGGCACAGTCATTTGCCCAGCTGCTTCCAGAACTTTAAAAGCAAAAAACCTTGAAAACAATGGATAAGCTGGGCATGGAGGCATACCCCTTTAATTCCATCTACTAGGGAAGCTGGGACAGGAAGACTGCAAGTCTGAGCTCAGTGGGACCCCATCTCACAATAGACAGGACTAGAGATGTAGTTTTTTGGTGGTAGGGTCCTGCCTAGGATGCACAAGAGCCAGATTTCAATCTCTATTACTGCAAGGGAAAAAAAAAAGATGGATGGGGCAGTGCTAGCATCATCAGGGTACCAAGGAACAAGTCTGCCGGTCTACTCAGGGGAGTCTCCCACAGTGGGACATGAAGCTTGTTTTCTTTAGTTTCTACATAGATGCCAGGCAGGAGTACGCTGAGTCCTGCCAGGAAAACATCTCTCCACACAGACTGGCCCAGTTCCCTGAACATCAAGCAGGGTTGCTGAGTGTGTAATTCCACCATTCAGGAGGCTGAGGCAGGAGGACTGCTGTGAGTTTGAGGTTATCTGGGGCTACATAGTGGGTTCAAGGCAGCCTGAACTACATAGTGAGATCCTGTCTCAAACCACCTATCCCCAAAAAACACAACAAAAAGAAACATCAAGCAGGATCATAAGGAGATGCTGGGGGCTCAAGGTGAGGGGTACTGGAGTTCTGAGATCTTTTCCCAAGACCATCCCTTGCCCTAGTCCCAGCTTACATGGATAGAATGGGGGCCACCATGTCGAGGGAAGCAATAAGGATGCCCAGCTCAGCGATGAGTGCAGTCAGGAGGAGAGCCCACGTTGGCTCGCCATTTGCCTTCCCGTGGCCAAATACCTGCAGGGACCACAGAAGGAGCTGCTTCTACCATTTTTCTCCCACGCCTGGGTCCATAAGGTGCAGGACACCCCCAAGTCTATCTGTATGGTGGTCACAAGTTTCCAGGCCTCTGTGTCTTGGATAAGCCTCACACAGGCCATAAGGATGCTGGGCCTAAGCAACTCTGCCAACAGCAGGAAAGACCAGGGTAACTCTTGGTAGGTGCTTATGGCTGTGCTGCAGCCGGGTTTCCTCTCTCCCCCAGCCAGTGTGAGGCACTAGGAGCAGCCAGGTTGTGGGGCTCACCCGCAGGAAGGGAATGATGTTGTCCTTGGCGATGGCTTGCAACAGGCGCGGTGCCCCAGTGAGGCTTTGGAGGCCAGCACCACATGTTGAGAAGAAGGAGCCAATCACGATGACCCAGGGTGAAGGCCAGGCCAGTGTGCCCACCACAAGGTTCCTGCTGACACCATCCCCATACCTGCCGGGGCCAGGTTCAGACCATGTTTCAGGTAAGGAGCCCCTGGTGGGGGCTCTCACAGAGACAGGTGTCAGGAGTTATGAAGGAAAGCTATGGGACAGAACTCTGGCCTTTGGTGGAGAAAGCTGGTCACTGGCTCCTATCCTTGCACCCCTGCCCCTTGCCCTCACCCTGATCCCAATGTCACCATCCTCTCAGAAGCAAGTCCTGGAGGGTTCCTGACCCATCTAGTGGCACAGACCACCATGGGCAGCCAGCACCCTAAGGAGGATGAGGAACATGGCAGGAAGGCTGTATGAGGGGAGGCAAAGGCTGAGGCATTGATACAGGAGGGATGTGGGTCACTCACTTGTCCCGGAGCACCACACCCTCGATGCAGGCACCAAAGAGAACCACACTGCTGAAGTCTGCACTTTGTCAAGGAAGCTAGGCCTTCGCTGCACAGCTGCTGGGCTCATTCCCCACAGGACCTCAGAGGCCTCCCTCTCAGCCTCTGTACATGGCCTGTCTGCGCCGAGGGTTCTGTGGGTGCACATGTGTGCACCTCAAGTGGGTGTGTGTGCACGTTTATGGGGGCAGGCATGCATGATATCTGCATGATGACTGAGGAGTCGCCCCCACCCTGCCCCAGGCCTGGGAAAGGATACACACAAGTGAGGTTGTAACAATGGCTAGAATGGTCCCCACTGGGATGGACTTCTGGGCATCACGGAGATCCCCGGAGCGATTGGAGCCAGCCATGATGCCTTCAGAAACATAAGAGAGACTCCCTCAGGGGGCTTCCCAGGCCTGGGGACAGGGCTGGTTGGGTGGGTAAGAGGGACTCACCTGTTACAGATGGGAAGAAAATGCCAACCAACACCGTGAAGGATGTGGTGATGTCAGCCACCACGTACAGGGGCAGATTGTCCTTCAGGCCAAGAGTGTCTGTGGAGGGCAGCCCACGCTTCTCTACAACCTCGCCCTTCTCCAGGTAGGCACTCCACAGGTTTTCTGTGGAGGGCATCAGCATCACCATCACAACCCCACTGCCCTCCCCAGGACAGTTTAGGGCAGCCTAGCTGTAGCCTACAGATACAAGGAAGTTCTGGGGACTTGGAGGACAGCATCAGTGGCTACTATCTGCTAGAAGTTATTGGCTAGGAGTCTGACAGACAAAGGTGGCTGAGTCAAAATCAGCCAGAGTCCCACCACCACTGCCTGCCTCCCACACAGAGGCCCTTTATGGCTCCTGTGGAAACATCTCCAGGCACATCAGGGACTGATGGCCAAGGGAAGAGGGCTGCCAGCACTTTCCAGGGTTGCTGCAGGCCTGGGATGCTGGCCAAAGAGCCTCTGTTCACCTAAAACTCAGCTGCCTGGAGCCAGGCTAGAGGACACTGCTGAGTTGGGAAGGCAGCCAAGCTGCCCCCTATTCCTGAGCTGGCCAGACAAGGATGGCTCTGTTATGCTCTCCTGCCCGGCCTGTGGGCTCAGGAGCAGGAGGGAGGACCTACCCTGGAGCACGCCAGCAGCCGCCCCAGGGATGCCGGGGATCTCAGTCACATTGTTGAGCAGGAAGTAGGGGTCACAGGAGTCAGTGGTAAGGTTGGGGCTGTGGCAGAATAAACTCCACAGCTGGGTGGCCACCGTCTCATTGTCCACCACAGTTGTCTTGGCACAGACATCAAATTGGTCCTGGGAGAGGGTCCTGTTGCCTAGCATGCATACCCTGTAGGGACAGGAGCATCAGTACCTGCTCAGCTGGAGGCCTCCTTCTGTTCCCACCCTGCAGTCTTGGGGGACCCAAGGCTCTGCATCAAAGGCTTTCCACTTGGAAGGGATGCCAATGTAATGCCTGGATACATGACCAAGTTACTTACGGAAACACAGGAGGGTCAAAAATAGACTTGATGCCTCCAGCATAGATGGAAAGGATGGAGATGATCACACAGGCCAAGAAGAGTGAAGCAAATTTGTTCACGTACTTGACACCAACAAACACCACCAGGGTCATAAAAGTCAGAAAAATGGTCCCATACACACGCATATTGTTCAAGGTGGCACTTGATGTGTCATGAGCACCCTCAGGGTAAAATATAGCAGCTGGCGGGGCAATGTAGGTCTGAAACAAGAAGACAGATATAAAGGGGTCTAATATTCTTATTTGAAAAGCAAAACATGCCTTATGGTTTTCTTTTTAAAAGTATATCTAAAAAAATGTCAGTCACAAAGGACTAAAGACTGTATGGTTCTGTTTATATGAAATGTTCAGACCAGGATGGTGATATATATCTATAGTCCCAGGATTCTGGGAGGCTGAGGCAGAAGGATCTTAAGTTTGAGCCTAATCTGGGGAAATTAGTGATTTAGTGAGAACCAGTCTCAAAAGATAAAAATAGGCATGGGCTATATAGCTCAGTGTGAAGATTCCAGATTTGATCCCCAGTACTGGGAATAAAAAGAACAGAAAGGAAAAGCCCAGAAGAGAAATTTATAGAGACAGTAAACAGATTAGGGACTGCCAAGCGCTAGTAGTGAACAGAGTTAATTAACCTAGTTTTTCTAGGGGTGCTGAACATGTTCTAAAATTGATTGTGGTGATGTTTACAACCTTGTAAATATACTAAAAGCTGATGAATTGCATATCTTATTTTATTTATTTATTTATTTTTTCCTTCTTCTTCTTTTTTTTTTTCTTTTTATCGGTACCAGGGATCGAACTCACGACCGCCTGCTTGCAAGGCAGGCGCTTATGCCACTGAGCTAAATCCCCAGCCCCGTTATTTTATTTTTTTGTTCTGGAGAGTAAAACAAGGGCCTTAACATGGAGCTACATGTCCACGCCTCTAGTTTATTTTTTTGTTAAATGACTAAGTTATCCAAGATGGGCTTCAACTTATAATCCTCCTGCTTTAGCCTCCCATACTGCAGAGATTTCAGGTACATGTAGCACCATGCTCAGGTTATAGTATATTCTTTCAATGGGTATGGTATGTCATTTAGCTGTTTTATTAAAAAAGGAAAGAAAAGAAAAGAAAAGAAAAGAAAAGAGAGCTGGGTATGGTGATGGATACCTATAATTCCAGCATTCTGGAAGTGGAGGCAGGACTGCAGTGAGTTTGAGGCCAGGCTAAACTACACAGCAAGAGCTCGTCTCAAAAAAAAAAAAAAAAAGAAGAGAGAGAGCGAGAGAGAAGAGAGAGAGCGAGAGAACAAATGAGTATACAAATAGGTACCAACTTGAGTAGCAGAAGGGCCAAAGTTTGAATAGCAAAACAAATAATGGTAGTACTGGATTATGACCAATAACCCAGAAAGCAAAATAAATATCCAGAAGTCCATATAATTACCCTGGGGGAGAAGGGACATATTTCCTTACAGAATTTCAACTAATAAATGTGAAGAAATATGAGAAACAGAAAGCAAATTTTTCAAAAGTCAGATCTAGGCGCAAGTTCCATGCTGCAGACAGATGATGAGGTATAGGATAGTCTGTAAATATCTCCCACTCTCTGGAGCCCTGAAGGTATGGAAAACCTGTGCTCCCCATGGTTCCCCAGCCCTGGTGGTTCAGTGGAGTGAAGGCTGAGTTTGAGACAGGACCCAAGAGTCTCAGAGAGGGGGTCCCAACCTTCACACAGCATCCTGCAGTTGTTCAACCTGACTTAGAGACAAGGAGAAGCTGCATATGAAGGGGGAGACAGAGCCGGCCAGAACTCACATGAGCCCAGGAAGTGTTCTGTGTCACTCATGCTAAATGCAACAGATGGTGGACTTCCTGCCATGGCTGCAACAGTGCCTGGGCAGATGAGATAGCCATGCTAAGGACAAGGCAGCCAGGCCCCTTCCCTGCCTGGCCCAAACTAGCAGGGGATGAAGCAAAGATCCTTCCTTCGCCAGGTCTCCCACTGTATAACCCCAGGCCCTGGCCACAGAGGGAGTACAAACAGAGTGGGGCCTCCTGTGTGGAGTCCAAAGGAACCGTAAGGACACATCTGGAACTTACCAGGGCTTAGCCCAACTCACCAGCAAGATCTCAATGGCCCCCAGGATGTACATGGCTGCTGCAAATGTTGTTCCCAGGTAGAAGCACAGGCCCACAGCACCTCCAAATTCCGGCCCCAGTGAGCGGGAGATCATGAAATAGGAGCCACCAGCTACAGCAGAGAAAGTATACAAAGGTCAAGGCTGGTTCTTTAAGGAGGTTCCTTCCCCAGCAAGCCCTCACAACCATGCAAGACAGGGGCTGCTTTTCTCATATACAAACCAGCACAGGATCAGCATCTTGTCTAGTGTTTTTTGGTCCCTGCAGCCCACCATAGGCCTCCCACCAGGAGGTGAGCCATGTAAACAAGTTGTTGAGACTAAAGCAAGGCCAGTCCAGCCTCAGTGTTCTTCCCTGGTAACTAGCACAGATAGCTCTGAGAATGTTTTGCTTTCAGAGTTCTCAGCAAAATACTGAGACCTTGTACTTTTGGCCCCCTTTTTACAGTGTACAAATAAAGAAGCAGACCATGCTGGGTTGTTGTTGCCTTTCCATCAGAGATCAGGTCCTACCTGGTCCCAGTTTTCCTTTTAATATGTGCCTATAATTTTTTCTTAATCTCTCTTTGCCCCCTCTCAGGACCCTGAGCAGGTGGCAGCATAAGTGTCCATGGCACGCCCTAAATCTGTGCTTCCATCCGATTCACACATCTGGTGAGACTAAGAGTTAAAACTGGGCCAAGGGTGGCAAAGGTGCAGAGCCAAGAGTGATTCCAGATTACTGACTGCAACTGCTCTGATAAAACCTCTTTGGTTAAAATCAAGGAATAGGAATCAAGAAATCTGAAAAAGGGTCAATCCCTTTCATCCCATAATCCTACCTCTGGGACTCTCCTAAGGGAAATGCCAGCAGCAAGAACAGAGATTAGTGTTCAAGGCTATTCATGACGATAGTGCTTCTAATTGCAAAACAGCAGAACCCACAGACAGGAGAATAATCACATAAATTAAATCCTATCCTCTCACACAGAACCTTGTTTTTAAAAAAGTGTCGCCAGTATTTGAGAAATGCATGGATGCACACACATATATAAGGACAGCCAGGTGTGGTAGTTCATGCCTATATTCCCAGCACTCCGGGAGGCTGAGGCAGCAGGACCACAAATTCAAGCCCAGCCTGGGTAACTTAGTGAGACTCTGTCTCAAAATAAAAAGGTATGGGGATATGGTTCAGTATAAAGACCCTGCTTTTAGTCCATAGTAATCCCCCCACAAAAAGCATATGTATCTATATAACATATATATCTGATAAAGAGCAATTTTCACATATATACATACACATAGCATATATATATACATACACACATACATATATACACATTACATATGTCGATACATATACATATTCTGCATCTGGCTTGAAGTGGTGCTCACCCACCTGGAACCACACCATTGGTGGCAATGGCACTCATGGAGATGGCTGTCAGCAGGGTCTGTGGGAAGAAGGGCCTGGATGAGCCTCTCATCTAAGTAAGCTCCATGGGGAGACCATGGCCCATGCCCAGCCCAAGGCGACCGGCCCTATGGATACTTACACAGCAGCAGCAGATGAGCACGATGAGGAGGGCCTGCAGCACTCCAGCCATGCCCACCATCCAGGTTAGCCGCAGGAAGAGGATGACTCCAAAGATATTCTGCAAGCAGGGCAGGTACACCCCCATGAGAGTGCCCATGCTGGGTGCCTATGTGGGCAGGAAGGGAGGGGGCACAGAGCATCAGAGGGGCCCGGATGCACCACAGAGGGCAGCTCCTAGTTACTCAGCAGCCCTGACCTGCAGTGCAGTATGCAGGGAGTCACAGCTACGACATCTCTACTGACTTGTATAAAATAGTTGGGATTGAGAGGTTATAAAAACCTGATTCTAAAACCCATATGTGAGCTTTTAAAACTTAAACTTCTCAAGATATTGCTACTTACTTCCCTTCCTCTCTTCCATTAAACTTCTAGAAAGAGGAATCTGGCTCAGATCCCTGATTTCTCACTCAGCAGGTTCCAAGAACTCAAACCAAAGTCCTAGAAGTTGGCATTATCCTTGGCATTCTACAATCCCCCTACTTCAGTCCACATGGATACAGAGACCTGCTCAGTTTGCCTCCCCACCACCCCGAGGCTGGCCTTGTCCCAGCCACAGAACTTGAAAGTAGGGCAGTACACCAGGCCACTGGGCTCCACGCTCCAGCCCTCTCTGCTACCAGAGATCCCCTTGCAAGTCCAATCTCATCTCTTCTGAAAGCCCTCTGGAACGTCCTCTACTCCAGTGCGCAGAGTATGGGTGACTCTTTGGCTTGTGCCACCAGATATTACCCATTGCCTCTGCCTTGTCAGCCCCAATCCTGACCCACAGTCCTCTCTCAACACCTCTGAACCTGGGCATGTGCTACACTGGCCCTGCTCACTCTATCTACCAGACTCCTCTTTTTTTTTGTTTGTTTTTCGTTTTTATCAGTACCAGGGATCGAACTCACGACTGCCTGCTTGCAAGGCAGGTGCTTTATGCCGCTGAGCTAAATCCCCAGCCCGAGACTCATCTTCAGTGAAGCCTCCAGGAGGTTTAACTATTACCTTTGGAAGTTCCCCTGGGCTAGATGGAACTGGTACTCTCTCTTCTTTAGTATCAATATACCTACTAATGGCAGTGGTCATTATTGGTCACCATAATCAATGGTTTACTAGTATGCCCCATAATCATACTGACTCATTTACTGGACTATCACCAGCAGGCCCTGCAGGTCCCCAAAAAGGAGGGTGAGTGGTGCTTTAGAATCAGCTGTACATCCTGTTGGGAAAACCCCACAGAGAGGAGATTGGTTGAGGGCAGGTAAGGAAGGCCAAACATGCAGATCCTGCAGGATTTCTCAAGGCAGTCAGGGCAAGGCAGAGCCAGTCAGGGGGCCAGGGTAGAAGCTGTGTGTTCACAGGCAGGGGTGGTACAGCCCAGTCCTGAGAACATCCACTGGAGGCCCAATCAAGCTGTCTCTGCCCTGAAGCTGGGGTGGTGAGAAAGCAGGTGCCCACAAGACCCCTCCTGCAGGGTCCAGACCTGGGGCAGAATCTGCATGCAGCCTAAACGACCTCAGAAGGGCTTGGGCAAGAACAGACACAGGACAGTGTAAGTGATGTGATCTGTAGTGCATCTGGGCTCATCTGAGTTCTTCTCAGATACTACCCACTGCATAGTGGCAGCGAGACTGCCAGTCCCACCCCCATCCTAGGCTGAGTCATTCTAAGAAAAGGGCAGTGTGGGAAAGGGCAGGGCCGGAAATGCTTTCTGCATCCCTAAATAACCTCTGGCAGCCTTAGAAGGTCACTAAGCTGAAGCCAGAGTAGTTGCCAGGGACAGGCTGCTTTTGGGTCTTGGCATGGGGTGGAGGCCCACCCTTCCTGCTTCAACCCTTTTTTCTGAGGCCCCAGCTCAGAGCAAGCCATGGATGAGGCACAGCTCCTCAGCTTCCTACTGACTCCCCTAGACTTGACCAGCCTCTTCCTTCTTCCATGGAAAAGCTAATGGTATTGCGGCCCATAAGCACCCTATTACAATGTCACCCTGGAGTCCAGTGAGGGGGGCAGCAAAGCCAAGGCTGGACCCCAATACCCTCACACGCTCCCTATTAGACCAAAGGACCACAGCCCCTCACCAACCCAGGCTTCCCTTCTATAGTCCTGCTGAGATGTGCACCAGCTTTCCCTGGGGGCTTTTTCACCCTCAGGCAGCATTTCCCTGCCTCACCCTAAAGAAACAGGCATGATGAGGCACTTTCTCATGAATCCTACCACCCACTGTGGGCAACCTGTCAGGAGCTGGGACTCGCTCCTGCAAAGTTGGATAGGCATGACCTGAGATAGTTGGGATTCTGCACTATCTTTAGTTCAGAACATACCAACACAATTCTAACTAGTTGGACAGGACAGTGGTTGGGTCTGTGCAACCTCAAGACACTAGCTGTTCTCTCTGAAGAGTGGGCTGATTTGTCTCCTGGAAGGGCAAGGTGAGAGGTGCACTTCACCTTGGTCTACCCTCTCTCCTGGGCCCATACCAGCAGGGTCCAGAACTCACAAATGGGTCTGATACTGAGAACCTGATATACCCCAACCAGGAGTTTCTTCTGCTTTGTGCTGACTTGCAGTGAAAACACTAGGACCAAACCCCAGCTCCTTGCAAACGAGCTGCCCTTTCCAAACCTCAAGGAAGCCAAAGGTAGAGAGGGAGGGCCAAACCAAAAGGCACAGGAAATTTCCACACTTGGTTAAATTGAGGCCCATATATATAGGAGCCAAGCAGGGATACAAGAGTCATCCTAAGTCAGAGGAGGACTGTAAGGGCAGAGCCTGGAATGTGAGCAGGTGATGGGACAGGGAGAGGGACAAGGAATCCCCCTAGGGAAGCACCAGCTTGCTACCACCCATATGTGTTTCCTTACCCTGGTACTCAAGGAGCCCAGAGGCTGCCACAGGGTTCTGCCAATGGAGCTCTGGGCCAACCTGGAGAAGGGCTGGAGGCTTATCACTTGCTCTAGGAGAAGACCAGGTTCCTGGCTAGCTACCCTGATGTGATGCCAGTGATCTGGCATTTTGGTTACATCCACAGTCAGCACACATATCTTTCTCCCAGGTTTATGCACTGATCTCAGGCAGGTTACTGAAGGCTCTGCCACTGAGTTTCTTCATCTGAAAAATGAAGAGGAGCCAGGTATGGTGAGATATAATTAATCCCAACACTAGGGAGGCTGAGGCTAGAGGATGGAGAATTCAAGGCCAGCCTAGATTACATAGTGAGTGCCTGCCTCAGAACAATAAAATGAAACAACAACAAAAACAGTAAAAGATCAGGGATGTAGCTAAGAAGAGGCAGAACGCTTGTCTACCATGTATGAAGCCCTGGGTTCAATCCCTAGCACTGCCAAAAATAAAAATAAAAATAGGGAGGGGGAGAGACAGACAGACAGACAGATAGGCAGACAAAGAATCCAGGCTTAGAGAGCCAAGAGATGGGCTTAACAGATTGGGTGAGCTATGGTTGGGGCTAAAAAAAGATGAATACAATCACAGCACCTGCCCCACAGCTTTTTGTTTTTGTTTTTGAGACTAGGTTTTGCCATGCTGTCTTGGCTGGTCTTGAACTCCTGGCCTCAAGCCATCCTCCCAAGCCTCCCCAGCAGTTGGGCTACAGACTAGTCTGGCTTCCAGCTCACAGCTTGCTGGGAGAATGTGAGAACCCAGACCCATTTCTAGCATGGTGCCTCACGACGTGGGCTGTTATTTCTGAGGGCCCACCTGGCCCTCTGCTCCCTTGGGAGCTCCTCTTTGGCCCACCCCTTGAGGCTTCCTTCAGCACAGAGCCCTCAATGCTCATCCTCTCTCACTGCATGCCTGGCATCCCCTCTTCCTGGTGTAGTGGGGAAAAACCACTTCCATGGTGTTCTGGCTGTCATCACAGGTGTGGCTTCTGGGTCCACATCATAACTGGCTCACCTTGGCTGCTCTCCGACGGGTGCCTTCGCCACTCTCAGCCTCTTCATGCTCCTTGGCACCTTGGGTGAGGTTGGTGTAGCTGACGAGTTTGCCCAGGAGAGATGATACCTTTGGGCGGATGTCCAGCTCCTCCTGTAAACAGAGCCACAGGGCAAGATGGCAACAGGCCAGGCTGGCGCCAGGCTACCTGCATGCAGCCAGCAGCCTGGCCTATGGTCCTGTGCCAAGCCCTCAGGCAGGCCTGGACCCGATCCCTGCTCTTGCCTAGAGAAGCCCAGGCCAGACAACCGGGCAGGTGTGGGCACCACACCCCAGCACGTGGCACTCAAAGGCTCAGCCCAATGGCAGCTTTTTTCTGCCCCACCTTGGCTGCAATCACTGCCAGCCCATCTGTGAAAACTACCCGCCTCAAGGGATTGAGGGAAGGGCAGGCATACAGGCAGGCAGGCGAATCCTACCCTTCCTCCTGCCTGGTCTGCTTGGCTACCTCCTAGCCATCCATCACTAGGCCTCTGGGATTCACACCTGCCCTCGAAAAAAAACCACTCTAGTCACCTTTGGGAACCAAGGAAGACAAAAGAAGGCTATCTGGGATAAGAAAGGTCTCTCTTATCTGCTCAAACCCCAATTTTCCTGGATGGTCTCTCCACAGACCCTGTATCCTGTGAAGAGCCTCAAAATAAGATCCTGGTGCCCAGCCTGTCCTGCGAGGAGAGGGAGATCAAGTTCTTTATTGCAGAACTTTGCTGCTCTCCCAGATCAGAGGCCTTCTAGGCCCCAGCAGGGCCTCGGCTTTTCCTGCCATTATGGTCTTCTCAATGCTGAGCCCCTACCTTCCTCTTGCCCACATTTAGCTCCTTCCTGTTGGTCAGTTCCTTTCTGGCCCTACACACGGGGATGCGGTGTGTGTGAGAAGTGAAGATGCAGGCCTTTAGAGAGACAGGGAAGCCTACAATACTTAGGCATGAGGCAGGTGAATATGTGGGTCTGAGTTTAGCAGCCTAAGCCATGTCTTAAACTAAATCTTACTTCTCAGATTGAGTCTAGAAAGGATAAAATTCAAGTTCAGAGGCATACATTTGGGAAATTTTCTAGAGAGATGTCTGCTGAGATACAGATATGGAGGGTGGGGGGCAAGCGAAGGGGGAAGGACTAGGCCTCAGCAAACTAGTGAGGAACAGAGCTGGAACAGGCAACCAGCAAGAGTCCTTGAGAGGCTGAGGGGCTGAAAGAAGATACAGGTGAAGAGTCACAGAGATGGCAACGACAGGATTGTGAGCAGCTTTTCTTTTTTTTTGTCTTTTTCCTTTTTATTGGTACCAGGGATCGAACTCACAACTGCCTGCTTTCAAGGCAGGCGCTTATGCCGCTGAGCTAAATCCCCAGCCCCCAGTGGTTTCACTCTGAAGGGCAACAGGAATCACAGCCTGGTTACCAAGGGAGCAGGCAGACATGAGGAGACTAGAGGAAGACCCATCCTCCAAACTCTGCTCAGATGAGAGGCTCCCTGACAGGCCCCTGCCCGCCCACCTGCCCGCCACACCTGTGGCCCAGAATGGCTGCTCAGCTACCTCAAACAGTGCCAGGTTCCTATCATAGTAGTCACTTCCTCTAGAAGCCTCCAAGGGGCAAAGAAAAGGGCTGTTTTCTCTGTGGTTACCCTGTCCTGTGGAGAAAAAGAGAGAGAGAGAAATCCTGGTTAGTGGCTGCCTCTTGAATCCCCAGCCTGTCTCCTAACTTACAAGGCCAAGCTCTAAAATATATACTCTATAGAACACTCTGGTGCAGTTGGACGCGGGTGTAACTTGGAAGACTGAAGCAGGGGCATTATGAGTTGGAGGCCAGCCTGGGCTACATAGCAAATTCAAGGATACACAGGGAGACACTGTCTCAAAAACAAACCAACGAACCAACAAACAAAACCAACCCCAAACCATCATACTCTGCTGGCTTCCTTGAAAAGCTAGAAGGGAGAAGTGAGTAAACCCTGGACATCATCCTCTGGAGCTTAGCACACCAATGAGAAAGCCCCAGATACACCAGCACCGATTCACTAGTGCCGATGTGGCCTGCAGGGTGAGGAACTTAGCCTTGGCCTGCCCTCAGACTGCCCCTCCTCAGGGAGTGGTGTTAGAGACCAGACAGATGATGTGGCACAGTGCTCCTTTCAATGACATGGCCGGCAGGTGGCCTGCTAGCTTTCCCACCAGGCTCCACGCAGGTGCACCCTGGAGGGTAGTCCAGGGCATGCTGGGAAACAACCTGAACACTGTAGAGAGGAAGGGTAGATGTCTAGGCCAGGGCCATCTACCCACCCATCTGCTGGGTGGGTATTAGAATGTGCAGGGTAGGAAAGCAGTAATATGGCTGTAGGCAGGAGCCACATGTTGGCCTCCTGGTGCCCAGATCCCAACAGTTTTCCCCAGAACAAGTAAGAGGCTGCTATCAGCTTCTATCTACCCCACGGGCTGGTGAGATCTTGCCTTATCTCCAAGAAAACCTGACAGAAAACTGCCAGATGCATCTTTTTCTGGTAAATGTGTCTCAACTCCCAAAGCTTGGCTTTTACTGGCCTCCCATCACGCATCCTTCTTTGTTTCTTAGCCTTTATTCCTTGTGCCCTTCACACTCCCAGCTTTCAACCAAGCAGGCAGAAGAAGCCAAGCAGTGCCGAGTGCCTTCCCAACCCCACCCCAAGGCAGCCTGGCAGCTGCAGCATTGGCTTAAGGTCTCACAGCAACAGAAAGCTGATATTTGGGTTCAAATAAGCAACTCTGATGCTGAATGGCAGTAGTATGCCGTTCTGAGGGTAGACGGATTGGAGAGTAGAAGGAAGTGGTAACAGAGGTGTGATCACCAATCAGACGAGTGGTGTGCATCTTTTCTGTTTCAACAGGCCACAATTTCTTTCTCTTGTTTGCAGCTGAGAATGTTGACTAATGCACTCCTCCTCCATCTGAAACATCCTCTTGCCGTTAGCATGTGATTTAATTAGCCCTCTGCAAGCCCACAACCACTTAGTAGGTACTGCACTGTAGAAAATGTGCCCATGACAATTTCCAAGGTAGTCAGCTCCTCCTCCTAGAATGTGAAAGCTGCACATGTGCCTCATCTAGCTACCTGACTAGCTAGTGGGCCAAGCAGTTCAGTTCCGAATTTGATGATGGCACACTGGTCAGTATTGATGGCACCATGGACAAAGGCAGCCAGAAGCCTACTCAGCCTAAAAAGTTATGTTAAAGTTCAGTGGGGTCACAAAGATCTTCAGACCCCCTGACATCCTGTATTTGCTTACTTAGGATTAGACCAGGAGTCATAAGAAAAGCTCGAAAACCCAGTAACGTTTTCTTTTATATTAATAGCTCCTCAATGTCTGAAAATTACTCTTGGATTTTTTGTGTGACAAAAACATGTCCCCTCTGAATAAATCAGATCCATTTTGACAGAAAATGGCTCATCTTACTTCTCTTTCTGCCTTGGCTGCCAGGAATCTCTAAGCTAAATTTACTTGGCTATTACTATCTCTTTAATCGCAGAGTTCTTGTCTCCTGAATCCCTTAGGGGGGCACTTTTGTTGTGTATTTCTGATCCCTTTGTGGAAATAGGTTGGAAATGAATTATAAATTAAACTGACACACAAAAAAAATTAAACTGATGCATTGCAGCCTGTTACACCACTGTTGCTTTGTCTCTCTGAGTAGTATACACTGGTATCCAGAAAATGCACAGCTGAGCACAAAGCAAGCAGGTCCTCCTTCTCCAAGTGCCCAAGAAAGGTCTTCTAGGACCCAGGTGATCCCTTGTTTCTTCAACTATCACTTCAGGATGGCCCTTCCAAGTGTTGCCTCTAGCCAGGTATAGTGGTAGATGCCTGTAATCCCAGCATTCAAGAGTTGAGACAGGATGATCTCGAGTTTGAGACCACCTTGGACTACATAGTCCAGCCTGAATTATAGAGGGATATCTTGTCTCAAACCAACCAACCAACCAACCAAAAATTGCTTCCGGTCCTTACAGTAGTGTTCCAGTAGATATCATTTACTCCATTATAGTGATAACAAGAGTAAGACCTAGAGAGGTTCAGAGACAAAGCCATACAGTGAAGGTGACCAGATCTGGATCCAGGGTCCACTAGAGCCAAGTAGAGGCTAAACTGCAGGTCCTTGTTCCTAGTTCAGTCCCCAGTACATCCAGAATGAACCCCAGAGAGGAGCATAATCCTTTAACATAGCAGTCCAGGGTATACAACTTGACCGGGGTTTGCATAGCCAGCCTCTGGCCATTCAGACTGTCAGGAGCCTGGCTGAGATTCCTAGCCCTTCTCCTGTAGAACTCAGGGAAACCTATGCTCTCTGTGCTGTCTTATCTACCACTGCCCTGTCCTCTTCTATCCAGATAGTGAAACCCACTCTTTCAACTTCCCAGAGACATCAGAAAAGGGACCATCTATACCAGACACAAAGCAGGCGCTCCTTGGAGTGTCCCAAAGCCTCATTTAGGGATAGCTCGCATGGGATTATGGGAATGCGAGAGTCTAAGCAGTGGTTCTGTGTTGTACTGCCCCTCAGCTTCAAGCTGCCTGCTCTGTCTTTAGTTATTCCAAAAATTCCAGGGCAGGTCCGGGCACGCCTGCTAGGCCCAAGCTGCTCAGACATCCTTGCAGACCCTAGTGAATCTGAGCATGGCCAGGGATGGGGGCTGCTTGTGAGGTGCACAGGTGTGTTCCTGTGCAATTGTGAAGACACCAGTGACCCTCCTGATCCCTGTACACTGGGGCATCTACCTGAGGTGGCCCTGCAGGACCTCCCCATTCCTGGCCAACAGGCCTGCTTGACCCTTCAGAACAAAGGTGGGCCTGAGCTGGGGGTTCCAGGAGATGGATCTGAAGCTGACTGGTTTTGTGGCTCCCTGACCTCCACAGTTCCCACCCACAAGGATCACAATCACTCACCAAGATGCAAGGTGTCACCCATCTTGCAGATACAGCCAAGGTCTGGCTGAAAAGGAGTTAGAGGAGAAGAAAGGGGGTAGTGGGAGGAGCTGGCCTACCGAAGGTGGAGGGATCTGGCAGGTCTCAGCCAATGTGGCTCCAGGTCCCACCAGTCACCCTGTGAGAGCCCAGGGCACACCAGGGACTGGTCTCCACTCTCTCTCCCCACTGCTCTAGGCTGATCCAAGTCGGCAGCCCAGCCCAGCCTCTGGGGACAGAGGTCCTCCCCGACCTAGGACAGCAGGTAAACTGGCTCCTGCTCTGATACCTTGGACAAGGCTAGGGGCAGACAAGAGCAGGGCAGGGGGTACTAACACAGCTGTTAAGCCTGAACAACTTCCATGTCCAGCAGCCTGTGCCACTGTCCTGTGGCACATCCACACACAGCCATCTCTAACACTACACTAACATTACTCTGTCAACATAATCTGCATTTGTCACCAGTCATCATCATCCTCATCAAAGACAACCCTGCAGGAAACTGGCCAAAAGTGCATGCTCTGACCTGAGCGTTCCTTCACCCTGTGATACTCACATCTGCACACTTGCACAGTTACATATGCACACCCTCATCTGCACACACTTGCAGTTACATATGCACACACCACTGTACAGAGTCATGTTCCCATTCTTTACACTACCAGAATGGGCTGTGGCAAGGAAAGTACTGGGGTGGGGAGCATCCTGGGTAAGAAGATGGAGAAGATGTGGAGAGATGCAGGCACCTGGAAGATAGAAGGGCTCACCTCCAGGTCCAGCTCTAATCCCCAAATTATGAGTTAAGGGGTTCCTATCTCGTCTCTGGGACTGAACCCCGCCTGAGGCGGGGGTGAGTTACATAACTTTCCCCGCCTCCCTTCACTATTTCCTAAATGCGAGTTACAGTGCCTGTCCCAACGGAAAGGCTGGGAGGATTGAACGAGTTGATTCAGGTAGTGCCTAAACAAGCCTGGCCCGGTGGCTGTGCTTCCCACATGCCCGCTGTGCCTATAGATCTAAAATGCCAACACAGGCACCCTCGGCAAGGCACATGGGTCTCTATGAGTCTCTTTGCCGGGCCTGAGAGCAAGATGACCTATGGAGGGGAGGGAACCACAGGGGCAGAAACGCTGAATCCTACACTGGGGGCCGGGAGAATGGAGGCGGTTCACCAAAGAGGGAAGGGCTGCAGCGGTGCTTCCGCGGTGCTCCCAGCAGGCCGGCCGGAGACCCGCCTGGGCGCTAACCCGAGCCGGGCGGCCACGTCTGCAGCCCCCGCCCGCGGCTCACAGCCCGCAGGGGAGGAGCTGGAGTGGGGGTGCGGCCGGGCCAGGAAAACCGAGGAAAACCAAGTCTGTGGCGCGGAGCCGCGAGTGGCGTCGGCGCAGGGGAGGAAAAGTTGAGCCCACACCGACGTGTGCACGCGCGCGAGTCCCGCCGAGCGCATGGACGCGAGCCCGCGTGGTCTGTCGCTCCGCTGTCCCGCCAGGGCCCAGCCGGGCGCGTCCTCACCGTCCGACTCATCCCGCTCGGCGTGCTCCCCGTAGTCCACCCAGCTGAGCCCCTCGAGGTTGTCATAGTCGCCGCGCCGCGGCCCGGCCACCGGCACCACGGTGAAGTGAGGCATCGCGCGCGCTCCGCTCCCCACACCCGCCGTCCCGGCCGCCAGCCGAAGTCCCCGCCACCCCAAACCGGCGCGCCCCGCCCGCTCGCATTCCTCCCCGCTGCGCTCACTTCCTCCGCCCGCCCCCCGGGCCGCCCCTCCTGGGCGGGGCGCAGGAGGGGCTCCGGCCGGCTCCTCCCCAAGGGGGCGCCCTGGTGACCCGAGGACCCCGGGTGGGAGTACTCCCCAGGGGAACGTCCTGGTTCCTGTGTGACTTTGGGTGATCTCTGATCCCCACAGGCGGTTCTTGTATGGGGAGGGGGCGTCCAGGTTTAAGGGTAAAGGATCCGGTAGAGATGCACGGGTTCTACGCCGTGGACCTCGTTTGCGCTTGGCGGCACTTCTGTTACTTAACGGTAACGGTAGGTGGGATAGCCCAGGACCGCAGAGGCCACTTACTCTGGCCCTGGCCCTTCCACTACCTCTGGTTCCTTCCTCCCAGTGCCAATACCATCTTCTCTGCCTCCCGTGTCTCGGCGACCCTGGAGACTGAACCTGGTGGAGGCGGCCGGCGACTGTCTCCTCTTTAGCAGGGGTGAGAGTAGAGGATGAGGGGGCATCCAACATGCCCCAGTTTTCCTGTTTGGGACAGCACACTGTCCTAAAGTCTAGTTCTTTCGTCTCAGTTTTATCTTTTATTTTTACCCCCTCCCCGTCCTTTTACCCAAGTCATTTACTTACTTGTTGATTTTTTTTTCACCCTCTACCCATTGCTTCAGTTAATTTATTCCGTGTGGTTTATGGATTTACTTTAGCGCCTTTATCGTTCTGGGCTGTCTTTTCAGCTTTTCTGTTTCCTTTGCATCAGAAACCTCCAGGGTCCATCTAAACTTGTCTATCTTCATTCTCACAGCAGGTCTATTTTTTTTTTTTTTTTTTGAGATATAATCTTGCTCTGCAATTCGGTCTAGACTTGAACTCACTGTGTAGTGATTGTCTTGCAGGGATCCTCTTGTCTCAGCCTCTCCAGTGCTGAGACTACAGGCGTGCAGTACCACGACCAGTTTTCTAGTTCCTCCCAGCCCCAGCTCTTGGGGATGTAGGATGGGGACTGAGTCACCATGCCGTTGGATGACACCTGAGTCAGTCCCTGTTTGACACCTCCCATGGCCATCACCGGGAGGACCTAACCTACCCTCTACAGTGTACCTTCAGCTGCCTCCCAACTGGACTGTCCCCCACTCCTCTCCTGTGCCGTCTGATGCTCCTGCTCCACTGTGTGGATGCCTCTCTTCTGAAAAGAAAGTGCTTGCTTGTTTCATCTACAAGGCCCAGCCCCTTTGGATTGCCCACCATCCTCCTGTCCAGCCTCACCCTTCAAATCTCTTTCACCTGCTTGGACTCACTAGTCTCTGGGCATCACCCTGTGTTCCTCCAGGGGTCCCCTTCTATAACCTACCACACCCCAATCTTCTCAGGCACTGCCTGTCACTCTGCCTCCTACCTGAATTGGATTCTCCTGGAACACTTTTCCTTCATGTTCCCTGCAGCAGACAGAAATGTGTTGGTGGAGAACTCTGATTAATGCTTGTGGTTAATCCCAGTGCTTTGGAGGCTGAGGCTGGAGGGTAGTAAATTCTAAGCTAGCCTGGACTACCCAGCAAGACCCAATCTCAAAGAAACTAAATGTGTGCTCACACTTGTGGGCACACACACACATACAAGTTTGTAGCCAAGGGTGGTAACACACACCTGTAATTCCAGCATTCTGGGATTCTGGGAGGTTGAGGCAGGCGGATTACAAATTGGAACACAGCCTGAGCAATTTAGCAACTTAGTGAGACCTTAGCACAAAGTAAATTTAAAAAATAAAAAGGAGAGGAGGCTGAGATATAACTTAGTGTAAAGGTCCTGGGTTTAATTCCTCGTGCAAAAAAAAAAAAAAAAGTTTGTCATGCCCACTACACTAGGCTCTTACAGGAGCAGAACCTTGTCAGTGTTGTTAGGTTGGTATCCCCAGGATCTGGCCACATTTTTTTCCTTCTTTTTGTGGTACTAGAGGTTGAACCTAGTGCTTTGTTATGCTAAGCAAACACTCTACCTCTGAGCTGCATCCCTAGCCCTATTTTTAGAATAAAGAATGAATTTGTGCACCCCTGGTCTTCTCTAATGTCCAAGCAAAGGGTCTCCACAGTGCCCATCTTGCCCTCTTACCTACAGGCTCTGGGGTGCAGGCAAATGTTGTGTGAGGCAGCAAGATCAAAACAGCCCAAACAGTAACCTCAAAGGGGCTCTTGGAAGCCAACGTCCCTACCCTGCTGACTGACCAAGTAGCCTGTATCAGAGTGTCAGAGTCCTCCCAGGAAAAACCTCACAGACATGCAAGAATCAGAAGGCATGGAGATGCACAGACATTTCAAAAGAAAACATCAAGGCTGCTAGAACATGTGGATCAAAAGTTCAAAATTAGACTAATAAATATGTTGCAAAATACAAGAAAGTCACCAGGTGTGGTAGTGCATGCCTATAATCACTTGGGGAGGGTATTGCCACGAGTTTGAAGCTAGCCTGAGCTATGTAGTAAGTTCAAGACCAGCTTGAACTGCGTAGTGAGACCTTGTCTCAAAATACCACCATCAACAGAAATGCAAAACATAACAAAAAAGAGTATTAGCAGAAGGAAACAAAATATTTAAAGAGTATGCAATATATAAAATACAAAACCCAATTATTTCAGTGCTCTATATTACAGATCACCCTGAAGCACAGAGTTAAAAACAGTAACCAATGTTTAGGGCTGGGGAGGAAGTCAGTGGTAGAGCACTGGTCTAGCATGCACAAGGGCCTGTACCACAAAACAAAAAACAAGTAAAAACTCACTGTTTCTTGGCTTACAAACGTGCATGCAGTCATCCCCACCTCACTCAGCCTGTGTTGGGGCTGGAGGACACACTTCCAAGATGACTCACTACATGACTAGCAAATTGTTACTGGCTGTCAGCTGAGCTCCTTGGGGCTGTAAACCCCTCAATCCCCTACATGCGGGCCTCAGTGGGCTGTCCAGTTTCCTTAAAATATTACAGTATATAAGCATAATAAGCGTAGAAACACCAAGAAGCAAGGAATGGAAACTGTTTCTTAGGGCATAGGCTTATAAACTGGCATAGTATTACTTCTGCCATGTTCTTTGGTCAAGCAGTTACAGAGCCCAGATTCAAGAATGGGTGGGGAAAAAAAGCTGGGCCTGGGGATTTAGGTTTAAGCATTTGCCAGGTTAAGTGTGAGGTCATGAGTTTGATCTCCTATACCAAATTTAAAAATAAAAGAATGGGTGTGTTGCCAAGCATGGTGGTGTACACCTGTAATCTCAACAATGAAGAGACTGAGGCAAGAGGATCTCCGTGAGTTGAAGGCCAGCTTGGGTTCTATAGTGGGTTTAAGGCCAACCTGAACTGTGTAGCAAAACCCTGCCTCAAAAAACAAAAACAAAAAGAAAGAAAGGATGGATTGAAGATATAGCTCAATCTATAGTATATAGCATAACAATCCCCAAAACCAAAGCAAAAGGGAAGAAAGGAAGAGAAAGAAAGAAAAAGAGAAAGAGAAAGAATATATGGAGTGGAGAGGCAGAGACTCCATCTTTGGATAACAAAGAAATAAAAACTAAGCCAGGTGTGGTGGCGGATGCCTGTAATCCCAACAGTTGGGAGGCTGAGGCAGGAGGATCATTGCAAATTGAGTCCAGCCTGGGCTACAAAATCAGTTCAAGACCAGCCTAAACTGTATAGTGGAGACCCTATCTCGAAAAGAGAAAGAAAAAAAAAAAGAAATAAAAAAAATACAGGGCCATGTTTTTAAAATAGACATACTAGATGGCCCACTACCAAAATGATTACAACTGAAGATAAATTTAAACTGAAAAGAACAAATTAAGGCATTCACTTAAGAAAAAAAGTAGAAACAAAAACAAGCAAACAGAAACAGAACTCAGGCAGGATGGTGCTTGCCTCTAATCCCAGTACTTGAGAAGGCGGTGGGGCTGGCAACACACCTCAGCAGCACAAGTGCCTGCCTGGCAAGCACAAGGTCCTCAATTCAATTCCAGTATCACACAACAACAACAACAACAACAACAACAACAACAAACCCAACCAAAACAAAGAAAGAAAGAAAGAAGCAATTCTTTGGGGCAGAGGCAGGAGGATTATAATTTCAAGTTTCACTTGGGCAATTTAACAAGATCTCGTCTCAAAAAGAATACAAAGGTCTAGAGATGTAGCTCAGTGCCAATGCCCTGGGTTCAATCCTGAGTACTGGGGGAAAAAAAGAAAGCCAGCTGTAGTGCTAGACGTCTGTAACCCCAGCACTCTAGGAGCCTGAGGCAGGAGAAGTTTGAGCAGAGTCTGGGCAACTTAGTGACTTAGCAAAACCTTATCCCAAAAAACAAGAAATGCTAAGGATATAGCTCAATATAGAGGCCCTGGGCTCAACTGCTAGTATCAAAAGGAAAAAGATAAAAGAAAGAAAATAGAAAATACACAGGATAAAAACAGAGGTTCTAAATCTGACAAATAGGAATCCCAGAAAGTGAGGTAAAATACATTGAACTTCAAAAATATTATGCTACGTAAAAGAAACTAGACACAAAAATGACATACTGTAAGTTTGCATTTGTAAGAAATACCCAGAATAGGCGAATCCACAGAGACAGAAGGCAGATCAATGATTGATGGGAGTCAAGGGGTTCAAGAAGAATGAAGAGTAACAAATTAATGCATACAGGGTTCCTTTTAGGGTGGTCAAAATGTTTTAAAACTAGGTAAGAGCGATGGCTGTACAACATGTGAGTGTACTAAAGGCCACTGAATGGTTCACTGTCATTAATTACAATCAATCTATTTATTCTACAGTACTGGGGATTGAACCTAGGGTCTCACACTGAGCTATATCCTTAGCCCAAATATTTGTTTTAAAAATTAGGGTTTAAAAATTGCCCTGGCTGGGTTTAAACTTGTGATCCTCCCTCCATCTCTCATAGTGGTTTGTTTACTTTTTGTTTTTTTGAGACATGGTCTTGCTACGAAATTCAGGCTGGTATTGAGCTCACTATGTAGTCTAGGCCGGCCTCAAACTCATGGTGATCCTCCTGTCTCAGCCTCCTGCATGCTGGGATAACAGGCATGTACCACCAAGCCTGGCTCCAAATTGGTTTATAGTTCTTCTTGAAGAAGAACATGGCAGGAAGAAGACTCACTCTACCAGATAGTAAAACTTACGTTAAAGTTGCCATAAAAGACATTTTTATGATATTAATACAATAAATAAATAGTAAAAGTACATGTAACAGAATTAAAAAATAATATGTGAGACCCTCGGTTCAATCCCTAACAATGCAAAAACAAAAAAGGATTCTTAATTTATAAGAGGCACTATAGTTTCTCTGTTTGTCTATCTGTCTCTGTTACTCTCTTTTCATTTGGATTACTGGGGATTGAACCTAAGGCTTTTACACTGAACTTCATCCCCAAGCCTTTTTAAAATTTTTAATTTTGGGGTGGGTTCTCAATAAATTGCCAAATTGCACAGGCATATGTGCCACTATACGGTGCTTCTTTCTCTCAACTTTAACATCCCACGGAAGGCACTAAGAACTGGCTGTGGTTCACTCAGAGGACAAAATGGCCAAAGAAAGGGTGTGTGTGTGTGGACTAAGCTGACAGTACTAGTTTCTATTTTCTTTTTCCAGTTTGTGGGTACACACTTTGTTATACTTAAATTTCTATACATCCTTGTACCAATCAAGACATTTATTCATCTTTTTAATCCTCAAGTAGGCACTTACCAGATACTTCATCTTCAAAGCGTGACCACTCATGCATCCATTAATCCTTTTTCTGTAGTGCAAAGTAGGCTGATATTCAGCATTTAGGGCTCCACCCTGTTATATTTCATGGAATATATAATTCCCAATAGATTTATTTATTTATTTGAGACAGAGTCTTGCTATGTAGCCCAGGCTGCCCTTGAACTCATGGCAATCTTCTTGCCTCAGCCTCCTGAGTGCTGGATTACAGGTATGTGGCACCATGCCAGGCCCAATAGATAACTACTTCTTCTCCTTCTCCTCTTCCTTCTCCTCCTCCTCTTCTCCTTCTCCTTCTCCTCCTCCTCCTCCTCCTCTCCTTGTTCTTTTTGTCTTTTTGAGACAGGGTCTTGCTATGCAGTTCAGGCTGGCCTTCAGCTCATTTTATGGCCCAGGCTGATCTTAAACTTGTAACAACCCTCCTATGCTCCTGCCTCAGCCTCTCAAGTGCTGGAATTACAGATATGTGACACCATGCCAGGACCAATAGACTTCTTTTAAAGTTGAGATACAGTTCTAGTGTTCAGTTTCCAAATCCAGGTAACATTCAGGTGATTTTATTGGGTGGTTCAGTCATTAAAAGATAAATACCCATCCATATTTATCTGTACACCATGAATTTTACCTTTCCTTTGTGTTTGTGAAACCAAAGAATTTATTTTAGTTTCTGCACTTAGTAAAAGCCCTGGTCCACTGAACAATTTTTAACCCTATAAAGACCTTTCCAGTTCAATTTTTATCACTTATAAAAGTCATGTGTTGAGACCAAAGATTTTGCTACGTAGTTCAAGCTGGCCTCAAACTCAAGGTGCTCTTTCTGCCTCAGCCTCTGGTGTGGGATACAGGCATGTGTCATGCCCAGCTCACCATGCCTTTTTCTACTTTTTTCTCTAATAGCACTCACTTGCTTCCTGAGTCTTTGGTTTCAATAACTACAAAAGACTGCAAGTGACTCAAGGATATTAGCCACCACTGCTTGATGCTGATACAAATCCAAAGCGTTCTGAGCACGACTAATTATGCGAGAAATTATAAATTATAAATGTTTTGGGAACCCAATCTTTAGACAAAGGGGAAGGCATTTTTGGCACCAATTTCATAATTATCTCCACTAGAGCATTTATCACTCGGGACTGTAATTGTCTGTGTTTCCCTCCCTCTATACATTGTGAGGTCCTTGAGGGAGGCCGACATCTTTATTGATCTCTGTATCGTATCCACAGTGCTCCGCGCATACAGAATGCGGAAAAGCCATTTCCAGACCAAGAATAAATTAACCCAAGGTTGGTTATGGCAGATCAGAGCTCTGAAGAGAAGCACCCATTTCCTGCAGTGGACCCCCGGACGACTGCATCAGGCATTGTGTTCAGGCATCTCAGAGACTAAAACTGGACAGTCAGGCACTGCCGAAGGGGCTGGGGTGTGGCAGCCGCAGTAGTAAGCCACCATGTGCTACTATACTGGGCCATCTCACCAAGTGCGGCCATGCGTGGTGTTCTGCCCCCGAGTCTAGGGACAGTGACAGAGCACCTCATTCCCTGCCGGTCAGACATTCGGGAAAGTCCTCCATTTTCTTCCAAGTTTTTTAAGTTTTTTTTTAAGATATAGTGATCTACCCTCCCCCATTTAAAAGTCAGCTTAACAATTTTTAATTTATTGGTGCTACGGTTGAACCCAAGACCTTGTGCATTATCGTTTGTTACAATTATTTGAACTATTTATTTATTGTATCAACCCCAATTTTTAAAAAAATTGATTATCATGGAGTGTGAGGGGTGGCTCGGTGATAGTGTGCTTGTCATATGTGAGGTTCAGTTCCCAGCACCTGGCCCCAATAAATAATTTCAGAGGCCCTTATGTGTAAACGCTAAAAATCCTCTTAAGGAAAGATAGGAGGTTATTTCATAACTTTCTTCCCTTCTAATAAAATGTAGTTGGGTGTTAAAAAAAAGCTAAAAATCTTACAAATAAATTTCTCCTAGTAATTCCAAATAACGTCCTGTTTACTGTACAAACACTATTGGATTCTTACACAAAATTAACCTTTCTGTCTTGTTGTCTATACTAGGCAAGTGTTCTACACTGAGCTAGAGATCCAGTTCCTGACCTTGCTTTCCCTCTGTTCTAGGAATTCAACTCAGGGGCGCTTGAACACTAGGCCAGCACTCTACCACTGGGCTACATCCCCAGCTCTCTAAAAAATTTTTATTTTGAGCCAGGGTTTCACTAAGTTGCCCATGTTGAGTGCTTTACCTCTCTATCCTCCTGCTTTGGCTTCCTGAGTAGTCGGGATTACAGGTGTGACCTGCACATCCATCTCAAAGTTAACCTTTCAGAGGAAGCCTGGAGCTCACCTACAGCCACACTCCAGAATGATATCGGCACTGAACTTCCTACTTGTGAAGCTCTGTGGGCTCAGGTTTTCAGTGTACGAATCTGGTGAAGTACGAGATCCTAGCACTGTGAGAAGCTGAGACAGGAGGATCAAAAGTAAAAACCCAGTTTGGGTGAAGAAGAGGAAAGAGAAGAAAAAGAAGAAGAGGAGGAAGAGGAAGAAGAGGAAAAGAAAGAGAATAAGAGAAGGAGAAAGGGGAGGAACAGGAAGGGAAGAGAACAGGAAGGAAGAGGGAGTGGAGGCGGAGGGGAGAAGCAGCAGCAGCAGCAGCAGCAGCAGAGAATCTGAGCTGCCTCTGCCCTTCCTGGGCACCAAGGCTGGAGGTGAGTGGAACCCCTTACCTGAGCGGCCGGGCTGGGCCATGAGTCCCTGCACCAAACAAGCCCACTTGACCTTGCTCTCACCACCAAGGAAGAACTCACACTTGGCTCCAAGTTTCAAATGTTTATTCTCGTCCATATGCTTGGTGGGGTCTGGCTTTCTAGAAGGGGGACTTTGCCATGATGGCTTCTTTGGGACTGACCTGGTCATCAGAACCAGAGGATGAGGACAGGGAGGGTGGCAGCAATCATGAGGCCTGGAACAGTTTCTGAGCGGCTCTGGGAGACCAGGTTGGTTGGCCCAGTCACCCTCTGGTGACTATTCTGCTGAGGCAGGAGGTGCGAATGGCAGGACGGGCTCTGCTGCCTGTCTGGAAACTCTGCTTCCATGGGGTTCAGCCCACTGCTTTCCTTGCTCACCTGCAGGTGGGCAGGAGGCAGCAGTCAGATGTACCCCCAGCAGCCTCCCTAGCTGCTGAACCACGGAATCAACCATCCTTTTGCTGCTGCCCAGCCCAGCGTACCTGCTCCACTCGCCTGAAGACCCGCAGCAGGTTTCCTCGAAGGACACCTTGAAGCTCCTCCTCACTCCAGCCCCGACTCAGCAGCTCCTCTATCAGCACCGGGTATGTGGACACATCTGCCAGCCCCTTAGGGAACCTGTGTGGTCACCCATTGGCCAACTGTAGGGGCTTGGCCATCCTGGTCTAGGGTCCGCTGTCCCACCAGCCCCAGTCACATATGACTACAACCAAAGGCCAAGGGCTTCAGGCTAGGGGATGCGACTTTAGAAGGGCCTTGGGGACTGGGCTTCTGTAGTGCTGGAAGCTGAGCGGATGGTCAGCCCACCACAGATGATCTCATGGGCAGGGGCTGGGGTCTAAGCTTGGTTCCCCAGGGGAGGGGAGTACTGAGCAAGCGTGACCACTTTGGTCTACCAGACTGCACCCTGTCTTGAAGAATAGAGACAGCTACAGAAACAGGCTCTGAGAGTGAGGAAGTGGGGAAGGGAGCTGGGGCACCAGAGTCCATAGTTAAGGTCTGAAGGATGGGAGGACCTCAGGATGGGGATCTAAAACTAAAGAACTCCTTGCTGCACCCTAGGCCAAGAATGTCCAGGGAAAGCACTCACCGGCCAGACCCATCATAATCTCCACCAATTCCAATGAACTCAGATCCGATGACTGCCTTGATGTGGTCAAAGTGATCTAGAAGATGGAGATTGGTTGTGGGTAGCAAGCACAAGGCTGTAGTTAGACCCTGGAATCTACAGTTAGGCCATGGTTTGAGGAAACTCAGCTCTGGCCAATTTCCATGCCCCGGGGACTCTAGGCCGTGGCAGCTGCCGCAGAGCTCAGGGTGGACACAGTCCTAAAGTGGTTACAGCTCTGGGCTTAAAATGGACCTCAGAGCCACCCCTTTGAAACTTTTCCTACCTCTGGGCTCTGCCTGTCCTGTCCAGAGGTATGGGGATTGACAGATCATTTTGGAATGAAAGCAAAATGAGACTCAAGAGGTAGAGGCATCAAACTCATGAGTACCTACTGTGACTTGAGACCTAGGTGGCCAGGAGAGCTGAGAATACTATCCCTCGGCTAGACTGCTAGATCTCTTTTGAAGGCCTGGCAGCCACAGCCTGAGCCAGAGCTGCCCAGAAAGCTGAGGTGGGGCTCACCTGCCACAGTGGACACGTTAGCAAACAGGTTACAGTGCAGCACCCCCATGGACAGGGTCACCATCACAATGCCACCATTCTTCTTCTGCAAGAACAGACAAAGGGATACTTAGTTCAGCTCCATGGGCCTGATGGCATCCCTCTCATGCCACGGACGATACTCTGTCTCAACCTCAGGGACTAGAAAGGGCTTCCTCTTTCTGGGTTTGTGGTCCCTGGGTCAAAGTGATTTGGCCTTAATTATCAGAGATGGAAGAGGATTAGCCAGCCTTGTGTCCAATGGTGTGTGAGACCTAAGGGCAAAGTTTTTCTGTGCTCAGGGTCAGGTGTCTTTTTTTTTTTTAATTGGTACCAGGAATCGAACTCACAATTGCATGCTTCCAAGGCAGGCACTTATGCCACTGAGCTAAATCCCCAGCCCTGGGGCAAGTGTCTTTAGATCTAGCAGGCCTAACCCTGGATGTGAGGGTCTGGGTGGCAGCTTACCAGAAGCTGTAGGATGTCATCAGGAACATTCAGGTAAGTGTCACATACGCCCCTCGCAGCTGAGTGGGAGAAGATCACAGGAGCCTGAGACACCCTCAGGGTCTCTCTTGCCAAGTTGTCTGAGGCATAGGACAAGTCTATCATCATGCCCAGGCGGTTCATTTCCTGTACCACTTTCTGCAGGGACAATTGATATTTGGGGGGAAGCAAGTGTCAGGGCACACAGGTATGTGTGCATTATCAGCAGGGAACAAGTACAGTAGGGTACAGAATGGGAGTCCTCACCTTACCAAAGCTCGTCAACCCGCTGACATTAGTGTAGGGATCATATATGAATTTAGTGGAACTCTCTGCCCTGCAGGACAGCCAAAGAGGTACAATTAGTTGGCCACACCTTAGTCATCAGAGCTTAGGGAGCCTCTGTCTATCCATTCATTGCATACCCAGAACAGGTGAGGACCAAGGTCCAGCTACTTTTTGGGAGTGTGAGAGACCTGCTGGGAGTCCACTACCTCTGTGGACAGCTTTATCCATACTTCTGGTGAGGCCTATCCCAGAGATGGGTAAGTTTCTGCACCACACTGCCTCTCTCTACTCCTCTCCCCATCCTCCCTCCCCCCCCGCCCCCCGCAGGGACTGTGCTCACCAGGGTGTGCTGCAGGTAAAGGTCAGTGTCAGGTAGCGCACTCCCAGCAGATAGAAACTGCGCAGCACAGAGAGGCTGCTGTCCAGTGAGTGACCACCCTCCACACCAATGAGGCAGGCCAGCTTTTGAGTGCTATTGAGACCTAGAAAAGGATGTGGACTCAAGTTTCAGAATCCAAGGATAGAACCCCTGCAGTGAGCTCAGACTGACCGATATCCCATCTGCCAGCCCACCTTCAGCTGAGGTCACCAGTTCCAGCTCAGAGTAAAAGGCACACATGCGGTGGATGAGGTCAATCTGCTCCAGGGTGAGGCGCACAGCATCCTTGTTCTGGGTATAGCATGGAACGTGGGCCGACCAGAACTGGAGGAGGTTCAGGGGGTCCAGAATGAGGCTAAGGTTGGCTATCAACCCCCTAGGCCTTCCAGTTGTGTGCTGCAGCCCCTAAAGCGAGGCACTGCATGATCCCATGGTCCCTTGACCACTATTTAGCGTGCTGCCATTGGCCAAATTGTGGACTCAGGACACATCACAAACTGCTGTTTGTCTGCATGCCCTGGGAATGCTCCAAGCCAGTCTACCACATCCTTTGTGGTTCTGGCAACTCCCATACTCATCGCGGTTTTTCTGGTCATTTCCTGACTATGCAGCTTGCCTATCATGCCCTCTAAGGCTCCTATGCTCCCCAACATGTATATGACGGCCCACTGCATGGCCCACGTACCCAGCCATGTGGAGGCTGTCCTAGCCAGCTTCTGTGGTCCCAACACCCCCAGCATCCATCGGGCACTCTATGTATATCTGGTACCTGGGCACCCACGAGGCCATCCCTCAGCTTATCCAGGCTGGTCTGGCTGTGGCTGAAATTGCGTAGATTCACATCCTGCAGCTGGTTCTGGAAACGCTGTTTCAGGACCATAGGCAGGTCGTTGTGGCTGAGGGTGTGAAGAGGAGATCAGAGTAGTGACACAGCCTTCATTGTCAGGCAGGACAGGCTGCATGCATAGGCCTACCCTACCCACCTACCAGGGCTACTGTCACCTGCCAAAGGGGGAATTGGGGGAATGTCCACCAGCAACAGGGTAACTGTAGTAGGATACCCACAGGTGGTGGAGGACACGGCATCCCAGGGTGCTGTAAGGAGGCCTCCTCACTGTCTCTGCATATTTAGAACCTCCCTCAGGCTAGCTGTGGTAGTGTGCCTGTAATCTCAATACTCAGGAAGCTGAGGCAGTAGGATTGCTCTGAGTTCCAAGGCAACCCAGACTACATAGGGAGACCCTGTCAAAACCAAACTTAACCAAACCACACCAAATCACAGCACAGCACAGCACAGCACAGCACACCACACCACCCCAACCCCAACCCAACCCAACCCAACCCAACCCAACCCCAACCCCAACCCAACCCAACCCAACCCTACCCTACCCTACCCTACCCTACTCTACCCTACCCTACCCTCCTCTGCCCAGAAATAACCCTACCCTACCCTCTTCTGCCAGGGAATAAGTTTGTCTCCCTCCACATCTACACACCCGTCCACTAGTGGGAATTCCCGCATCAGGGCTCTCGCACGACCTCGCAGGTCACGGCCACTGGGGGTGCCCAGCGTGGTCAAGGAGTCAGGAGTGGTGGGAACCTCGAGGGTGCCAGATGAGGTCTGAGTGCTGGGGGTGGCTGGCGCAGTGTCCGGAGTGGTGTCTGGGGTGGCGTCCGGGGTGGTGTCCAGCATGGTGTCCGGCATGGTGTCCGGCATGGTGTCTGGCACGGTGTCCGGCGCGGCCTGGGTGCGGGTTACTCGCTGCAGCAGCAGAAGTAGAAGCAGGAAAAGCAGACATAACATAGGCCGCGGGCGGAACGCGCGGAGCGCCTCGAGGGCCACCGCCTGCATGTTGCGCAGGGACGCGGACGCGGGCACGCGACGCTCACAAGAGCCTGAAAAGGGCAGGCCAAGGACACTGGGCGACTACAGGGTCGCCGTCCGTCGATTCAGTCGACCTAAGGCACGACCTGACTCAAAAAGTTTTTCAGTCACGCCACCGCGGCCTTCAGGCTGGGATCCTCTGCGCCGCCTAGCGTGACCGGAAGGGGGCGCCACAGCCCTTCCAGCCTCAGCTCGGAGGGCGCCCCCTTCGGCCTGGAGGCCCCCTGCGTGCGGCCTGCGTGGCCTGCGTGGCCTGGTGGTCCGTCCCCCCCCCCCCCCGCCTTAGCCTCGCAGCACCTCTGCCCTGGCTCAGCTTGTGCAGCACGAGGAGGATGCCAGTCAGGTGCCAGACAGGTTCCAGTCAGGGCACAGAGGTCTTCCCGATCTCATGCACTAGTCAGGTCCTTATGGGGTGTAGCTGCCAGGATGTGCCTGCCCCTAAATGGGCAAATAATTCCTTAAATCCAAAATTCAGAAGAGTGAATTCTCATTCTCTCTTGGTCTCTTCTCTGTCTGTCTCTGTATATAGGTGTGTCCCTCTCTCTATTCTTTGAGACAGTGTCTCCAGAGGGCTGCAATTACAGGTGTGCCTCACCATGCATAGATCTGTATTTATTTATTTATTTATTTATTGTCTTTTTGAGACAGGGTCTCGCTATGCAGTTCAGGCTGGCCTTGAGCTCACTTTGTAGCCCAGGCTAGTCTCAAACTTGCAACGATCCTCCTGCTTCAGTCTCCCGAGTGCTGGGATTACAGGTGTGAGCCATCACGCCCGGCTGATCTGTATATTTTGACTGACAAAAAAAGAAAAATGATCTATAGGCTGTGAAAATGAATATATAATTGAAGCTGGAGAGGGGGGGTTATACTTATCATCACAGTGAAGTAGGAGGTAAAGCTAATATGAGTAAATAAGAGAAAACCCTGATGCAAAGAATAGAAATAAGATTAGGCAGAGCAAGGACCACTGTCAAGATATCAGAAAACCAGTAGATAGAGGTCACCCTTCAAGACCCCAGCATGTGCAAAACTAAAAGTGTATGAGGCTGGCGAGGTTTCAGCTGCATTTAAATTCCAGTTTTATACCCCCTCCTTCCGCAGAGGACTTTGGACAGCCCTCAAGACCCTCTGTCCAGCACTATGGGAGACAAGAAAAGAGGATCACAAGTTCAGCCCAGTCTGGGCAATTTAGTGACTTAGTGAAACCAAGTCTCAAAAGAGAAAAAAAAAAAAAAAAAAAAAAAAAAAACCAAAACAAAAAGAACAATGTATGTGGGAAACTATTTTATTTTTATTGGTTTTCTGAGACAGGGTCTCACTATGTACCCTAGGCCGGCATGGAATTTGTATTAATCTTTCTGCCTCAGCCTCCAAGTGCTGGGATTACAGGTAACCATTTTATCTTAGCATTTAGTATTGAATTTTGTTTTGGTAGAAATGTTAGCATATACAGATGCTAGAGGCTTATGCACATGAAATGATAGATAACAATAGTCATTGTGGCAGTAGGGTCCTCCTTCCTGTACACTCTAAAGCCCATCTCTTTTCGAGGCATGGTCATCTTGACAGGGAGGAGCAGAATCTGCAATCTGGGACATGGTCAGGTTAGGGCCCTTGTACTGAGCACATGCTGAGGGCAAACAAAGGGTTTCCAGGCTGGCCAGCAGCCTGCATAGTATAATGTCTCCATTTCCTGTTAGAAAAACCCCAGTACGGGGGAAGCAACCTCAGAACTGCATCTAGGTGGCATTTGATCCTTGTGGACCTGGACCAGGTTGTGCCAAGCTGAGAGGGGCCAAAAACTCAGACTAAATCTGAATGGTTCCCCTTTCTGTGATTGTTTGTGTTCTGTTTTCCACCTGGGCTCTCTAAAAGAGTGGGCCTTCCCTGTTTGGACAGCTGGGCATCCGTTGGACGTTGCTCTCTGTCCTTCTCTGCCCCTTTGTGCCATGAGATTAATGACCAAGTCTAACCCAGCTGCCTCCAGTTTTAGTTCTCCTTGGGAGGCCAGAGATATTTCTGACCTCTCACATAGCTGGTCCAGAAGTCTTCATATAAGTGACTTTGAACAACATAGTGAATGGCAGCTTTGCTAACAGTTTATCAAAACTACAAAGACATGTGCAGCCAAATACATATATTTAAAAAAAACTACAAAAACAACAACGTGGTGGTCCATGCCTGTAATCCTAGCTACTCAAGAGGCTGACTCAGGAGGATGGCAAGTTTGAGGCCAGCATGAGCAGTTTACAAAGACCCTCTTTGAGAATAAAAAACAAGTGGCATATGCCTGTAATTCCAGCACTCCGGAGGCTGAGGTAGGAGGATCATCATGAGTTCAAGAGCAACCTGTGCTGCAAAGTGAGCTCAAGGCCAGCCTGAACTGCATAGTGAGACCCTGTCTCAAAAAAAAAGTCTAAGGATAGGATAGAGCACCCCTGAGTTCAATTCCCAGTAGTTGGGGAGGGGGGCAGAGAATTGCATATGTAACTCTTTCTTTTTTTTTTTTTATTGGTACTGGGATCGAACTCATGACTGCCGGGATCGAACTCATGACTGCCTGCTTGCAAGGCAGGCACTTATGCTGCTGAGCTAAATCCCCAGCCCTTGTAACTGTTTCTTATATTTATATTGGATGAAGGGAAGAGTATAATATTTACAACTAATTGTTAAAATGTTTTGAAACTTCTACACAAACAGTTTGAAGCATTTGGTCATATGAGCTGGGCCTGGTGGTACATGCCTATAATCCCAGTCCTCTAGAAGACTGAGGTGGGAGGATCACAGGTTTGAGCCTAGTTGGGCAGTTTAGCAATTTAGAGAGACTTTAATAAGAGTTTTTTTTTTTGTGTGTGTGTGTGTTTTTTTTTTTAAAGGCTGCGGATGTAGCCCAGGAGGCCTTAGGTTTCATTGTGGATATTACTTCCACCAAAGTCTGGTTACACATTCCTCCTGATAATTTTAAAAGTTTGGAAAAATAGATCTGTAGTATAGCTCAGTAGTAAGTGCTTACCTAACATGCCTGAGGTTCTGGTTTCGACCCACAGCACACCAGAAAAAAACAAAAATAAAAACACCAAATTCTTGAAGCTATGAGAGTGTTAGCAAGATGGTGAAGAGGGCTGGCATGTAGTGGTAGAGCTGATGCATAGTATGAACAGGCTCTAGGTTCAACCCCTAGATACTGAAGAATTACTTGGCAAGAATCCAGGAGGCTAGACATCCAAAGAGTTGAGCGCAGCCTTTACTTTCCAAAAGGGTCTCCAGAGGAAGAGATGGGCAGGAGGAGGAAGGAGGAGCTTGGGAGACTCTGAAGTGGGGTGAAAGGTGACCTCAGAGTGCTCCTCAGTCTATCCAAAAAATAGCCAAGAAAGGACAGAGTAAAATAAGTACTGTTAGAATTTTCTGAGCAACATGCAGAGCCTAACCATTGTGGAACCTAAGGCCAAAAGAAAAAAAAAAGTATGTTTCAGGGCTGGGGTTTTAGCTCAGCAGCCTAAGTGCTTGCCTTGCAAGTGTGTGGTTGTGAGTTTGATCCCCAGTACTGATAAAAAAAAATATGTTTCAATATACTCCCACCTTTTTGCGGTACTAGGGATTGAACCCAAGACCTTTGCATAGATCTATATTCCCAACACTTTTATTTTTGAAACAAGATCTCACTAGATTGCTAAATTGCCCAGGCTGGGCTCCAACATATGATTCTCCTGCCTCAGCTTCCTGGAGTGCTGAGATTAGAGGCATTTGTCTCCATACTTGGCTATATTATTACATGTATTTTCTATTTTTAATTTTTGTAATGCAGTGTTGAGTTTTGAATCTAGAGCCTCATATAAACCAGGCAAGTGCTTTCTGAGATCTATCCCTTGTCCCCTTAATATTTTTTTTTGTCTTTTTTGTTTTTATCAGTACCAGGGATCGAACTCACGGCTGCCTGCTTGCAAGGCAGGTGCTTATGCCACTGAGCTAAATCCCCAGCCCCTCCTTAATGTATTTTTAATGTAAAATCTTAATGTAAATCTCTACATAGTCCAATCTGGTATCTAATTTCCTATATAGCCTGTGCAAGGCCTTGAACTCCAGATTCTGCCTCAGCCTGTGGAGTGCTGGGATTACAGATATGTAATCATGTCGCCATGTCTAGTTTCAATGTTTTTTTCTTTTCTTTTGTCCTTTGGAGACAGGGTTTTGCTGTCTAGTTGAAGATGGCCTTGAACTTACTTTGTAGCTCATGCTGGCCTCAAACTTGCAGCTATCCTCCTGTCTCAGCCTCTTAATGCTGGGATTATAGGTGTGTGCCACTACATTGGCCTTAATGGACTTTTTTAATGGTTGCACTTCCTAAAATGTTAAAATTTGTTTGAAAATATGAAAAAACTATAAATTAGGCATATTAAAGCTAACATTGTTTTACATTTATAAATTTCATTTATATCCAAGTCAGATTTTTATGATCTTACTTTCTTAGCTTTAGTGGAAGAAAGCTCATCAACAGTCTTTTCGAAACCTACTTCTTCCTTATTTCATTTTTGTTCTGTTTTGTAGTTCAGCTCATCTTGAATTTACTATGTGGCCCTGGACTGGCCTTGAACTTGTAGCTATCCTCTTGTCTCAGCCTCACTAGTGTTGGGATTGTGAGTGTGTGCCACCAAGGCCAACTATTTCATTTTCTATTCACAGATAAGAAATTTGATAAGTTCACTTAACCAACTGATCGTGGTTTTTTTGGGTGGGAGGCATACTGTTCCACAGAGCTACATCCACAGTCATTATTATTATTATTATTATTATTATTAAATTTTGAGACAGATCTTGTTAAATTGCCCAGATCGGACTCCAATTTGTAAGCCTCAATGCTGGAAATACAGGGATTCCTTGCTGTACCCAGCTCCAAGTGATGATTCTTTTTCCTTCTCTTTGTTTGTTTCTTTTGCCATTTAGTTCAGACTAGACTTGAACTTACTATGTAGCCCAGATTAGGGCCTTGAACTCGTGGTAATCCTCCTGCCTCAGTCTCCTGAGTGCTGGATTGCATGCATGCACCATCATGCCTAAGGGTTCTTAAGTCAGTTTTAATTAGGCATATTAAATCATGTAGGGTTCTTAAGTCAGTTTTAATTTTATTTTTTCTTTGGTACTGGGGATGGAACCAAAGGATTTGTGACTGCTAAGATAACATTCTACCACTGAGCTGCGTTCCCAGCCTTTTAAGTAATTTTAAAATAATTTCAGTTTACTGAAACTGCTTTTAAAGAATGCCAGTGTAACTGATATTATTAAAAACCAGATTCTAGATAACAAAATTCATGAATCAATGTTCAGAGACACAAACACATGACAGGTGTGGTAATATGTACCCCTAGTCCTTGAAGTCTGGAGGCTGAGGCAGGAAGCAAACTCAAGTCCAAACCTGAGTAATTTAACCACTGCAAGACACTGTCTCAAAACAACAACAACAACAACAACAACAAAACACTGCCTCAAAATAAAAAGGGCTGAGGGTGTAGCTCAATGAGATGACCCTGGCTTCATTCCCCAATACAGTGCTAATTTTATAATATCAAAATTGAGATGGAGCATAGTGGCACACATCTGTAACCCCAGCACTCAGGAGGCTGAGGCAGGAGGATCACTGCAAGTTCGAGATCAGCCTGGGTTACAAAGTGAGTTCAAGGCCAGCTTAAACTGCATAGCAAGACCCTGTCTCAAAAAGACAAAAAAACAAAAATCAAAACAAAACAAAAACCCCAGATACCATGAGTTTAGTTGAAGGAATTTCAGAGGAAATGAATTGATTTTTTTTTTTTTTTCGTTTTTTTGAGACAAGTTTTCACTATGCAGTTCAGGCTGGTCTTGAACACACTTTGTAGTCCAGGCTGACCTCAAACTCTCAGCAATCCTCTTACCTCAGCCTACTGAGTTCTGGGATTACAGGCATGAGCCACCACACCTGGAAATAATTGTTATTTTATTTTTAGGCCCATATGTACATTTCTATTTTTCCCTCTACTTTTGTTAGTCAGAAAATGCATTTATTTTCCTTTTTTTTTTTTTTTTGGTTTGGAAATAACCCAGAGCCTTCACCTTGAGTGATCTACATCTCTGTCCCTTTTAAATTTTAAGACACAGTCTCTTTAGGTGACTGATTTGCCTGAGCTGGCCTAGAATTTGAGATCCTCCTGCCTCTGCCTCCTAGAGTGCTGGAATCATAGGTGAACAACACCACACTCAGCTATATTTCTTCTTTTTCTTCTTCTTTTTTTTTTTTTTTTTTTTTGGTAGTGGGAATTGAACTCATGACCTTGTGCTTGCCAGGCAGGCGCTTATGCCACTGAGTTAAATCCCTGGCCCTATTTTTTCATGTTTGAAGACTGTTTTTTACACAGAATTCAACTTTGGTAGTTAATTTCATTTACTGTGTGTAAATGATTCCATTTGATTATCCAGCTATTGTTTTTATTTTGCCTCCTCAAGCTGTGATTTTTTAAAAATCTTTTTGAGACAGGGTTTTGTTATGCAGTTCAAACTGGCCTTGAACTCACTTTGTAGCCCAGGCTGGCCTCGAACTTGCAGCAATCCTCCTACTTCAGCCTCCCAAGTGCTGGGATTACAGGCTTGTGCCACTACACTAGGCCACTGTTTTTTTTTATTCTTTTTTTAATAACCACCACCACCTACTTTTCCCTTATATTTGTCTTCCCCAAATTTGACCATACTGTAATTTCCCCATTCTTTATTGCCCTAAAGATAAGAACACCATCTTCTTTATATAAGTGCTTTAGTGTAGATCCTAGGAAGACAGAAAATACTAAGAAACTAACTTGCAGAAATGGTTGAAATTATAGAACACCTCAATTCTTACAGGTTTTACCTGTGTTCTGTGGCCACTAACTTGCTAAGAAGCAATGCCTAAAAAGCCCTATGAATTTTTTAGACGTCCCTCTCCCCGTGTTGTTGATATCACCTTCTTTCCCTCTGTCCACAGAATTCTTTTTGTAAGACACAGTCCAGGAAACACCAAAGCATACTTGGCCACTTAAGTTAGAAAGACTCAAAGACAGCCAGAGAGAGCTCTCGTCTGTTATTTGAGCAGCAATTAACTTCTTGTTGCTACTACCAACTTGTAAATTATACCCACAGAGCTGTTCTAATCAGATGTCTGGAATACCAAAATTTTCTTTTTAGAAACAGAAGGCAATTTCTCAGCTGCCAGGGGTGAAGCCAGCAGATATACACTAAATGAAAAACAAGATAAAGGTTCCCTAGTCATTGTTTAAACCGAACAGCAAAACCCCGGTTTATGTGTTCCAGGAAAGGAGCAACAGTAGCCCTCAGTCTCTCTATTCAGGCTTCAACCAAGTCCAAGGTCCACTGGGTCCTTCCAGTACCTCAGTACCTTCCCTCCTGGGGTTGGGGTTGGCTAGCTGCCTGGTGGTGAGGCTGTGGGCTGTTCTGCAGTAACACCTGGCATAGCTGAGGAGCTACATGGTCTGCTATGTGGCACTGTACCAGGGCAGGCATGAGCTGCACATAAATGGCCCTGTGGCAGTGGTTGGGATGGATCATCTTCCCAGGACAACTGTGCAGCAGGCCTTCTCTGTGCAGGAGCTCAGTGGTGCAGGCTGGGCACACAGTGCTGGAAGCAGAGTTCTGTCATAGGGTGATAGACCAACAAGAGGTCTCAAGTTTCTCAGTTGCTGCTGCTGCAGTTGCTCCGTAATGCCACTGCCACCATTACCACAACAAGGCAGGTATGACACTTTGGTTACAGCTTCTCGATACTCGCCCCCCACTCCCCGCCCTTTTTTTTGAGATAGGATCTCACTTTGTAGTTCAGGTTGGCCTTGAACTCATGGTGATCCTCCTGCCTCAGCCTCTTGAGTGCTGGGACATTTTTTCTTTCAAAGTTTTTTTTTTTTTTTTTTTAAAGATAATCTTTGGTCCCTCAAAATTTGACGCTAAAGAGCACAGTTTGGGGTCATTATGAATAGTGTGGCTATAAGTAGGATTTCATATGCCTTATGGGGAATGTATGTGTACATTCCTGTTAGATATACATCCAAGGTGAAATTGCTCATTCACAAGATTTGCAGAGACTGTTAATATTAACCATGGTTTTTATTAGTCATTATCTACTACTTCATGTTATTTACTCTAAATTGTCATTATCAGTATTAGCCCTTAATATTAGCTATTATTCTTGCAATCACTAACAGTAAGGGCTTGGGGGTAGGATGGGGTGGATTCCTGAGTAGCTTGTGCCTCTTGGAGAGGAAGTCCCTGTGGAGCCAGGACAGTCCAGTCACTGGAGGCCTGTGGCCTGTTATGTGGCCAGATGTCCCAGGCTCTGTCCCAAGAGGAATGAAGAGCATTTATGCTGCAGAAAGGCTCCCTGGGACAGCCCCAGGTGGCAGTCAGTGGCTTAGTATGGGATGAGTCACTCAGGGTGCTCCTTGCCAGGGCCCCTCCTCCTGCAGCTGGGTTACCCACTGTCTTCATCCAGTGCTGTGTCTAGCCTCTGCTGCCAACAGGCCTTCCTGAACAACTGGTGGCTGAAAGCTGGGTCCCCTGGCACAGAAGGTTGGCACCACCAGACCGCACCACACAGAAAGAGAGTCACACCTCCGTCCACGTCCAAAACATTTATTTCAGGAAATCTTTGTATTTGCGTACGGAGGGACCTTCATGGGGTGTCCAGGGCTGCCAAAGTGACATCTGGCAGGGATAAGTCGCACCAGACCCACAGAGTAAGAACCAGGAATGTGAAAAAGTGCAAAACAAATGAAAAAAAAATTAAAAAAGAGAAAAAGTAGTTGGATTATGCTAGCCTCCGTGAAGCCTGCGACCAGGTAGAGGGAAGAGTGTGAAGATGAGCACCTGTGAGGTGATGCTGGGGCTGGATGTGATGGGATCCTGCTTTGAGTCTGGTCTGCAGCCAGTTGTCTCTGGTGCTGATGTGGGAGGACAGAGCAACCCCTGGCCAGCTGTTCCTCCAGGACCATGTCTTCCGGGGGACTTTGCCACTTGTTCTCCTCCTGAACCTAGAAGTGGCATTAGGCGGACAACAGCTCACCGTGAACCCGATGCACCTGCTCAGGTCCTTGCACCACTGTCTCACCCAGCCCAGCATACCTGCTCCACTCGCCTGAAGACCCGCAGCAGGTTTCCTTGAAGGACACCTTGAAGCAGCTCCTCATTCCAACCCCGACTCAGCAGCTCCTCTATCAGCACGGGGTATGTGGACACATCTGCCAGCCCCTCAGGGAACTGTAGCCACTAGCAGGTGGTTCTCTTGAGTTGGCACCCTGATCCAGACTCAGAACTACAGCCCTGTGTGTCCTGGTACATGGTACCCCAGCTCTGGTCAGATGTATTGGAGATAGCAAGTGATTCACCCCTACTCTGCAGCCTTCAGAGGACGCCCCCAAACCTCCTTGGATATTTGTCAAATGTCACTGAACTGAATTTTCTTTTCTTTTGTACTGGGGATCAAGCTTAAGACCGTGTGCTTTCCAGGAAGGCACTGGTGCTGCAGAATTAGATCCCTAGCCTGCATTTTTTTTTTTTTAACCAATGTCTCGCTATGCAGTTCAGGTTGACCTTGAACTCATGGCAATCCTCCTGTCTCAGCATTCCCAGTACTGTTGTTAGAAGCCTGTGCCAGGTCGCCCAGTGCTGAATTGCACTTTTAAGATCTATGGCTTCCGCTGAATGGATGTCACCTCTATCTGCAGCACCGGACAGAGAAGATGATCAGGGCACACCAGGCCTTGCTGACAGTCTGCTCGGAGGGAGCAGGACTGCTGTGGCTGGAGTGAGTGCATGGGCTGGAAAAATGAGTTGTCTGGTGGCTTGGTCAAGTATGCCTTACAGCAGGAACACTGGGATGAAGGCAGGCAGGAGATTGCAGGAAACAGAGCGTGGGAGTGGGACATGCTGAGTGGGTAAGGCCTAAAGGCTATGAGGACCAGGGCAAGATGGTGATGACTGCAAAGGCCCCCACAGGTTTTCAGACAGCCCCAAATAAGCCACGCAGCAATACTCACTGGCTGGTGCCATCATAATCTCTGCCAGTGCCAATGAACCTGGGCCTGATAACTGCCTTGATGTGGTCAAAGTGATCTGGGAGAACGAAAGTTAGTGTGAGGTTTCTGGGGCAGGAGTGCCCTAGATCTGGACTCTGCTGTGCCCTACAGGCCAGTTCCTTCACAGGGCCTGTGCCCTGTGTGGCCACCTGAAGTCCCTGAGATTTGTCTTTAACTGATCCCAACTGGCTCTGGACTGGACCTCAAGTTTAGAGTGAACCCATTTGGAATGACAGCCATTGGGTCACCTCTCCAGATTCATCCTGCCTCAGTCTCCTCGCTGTCCTGGTGGGGGATCTTTCCATAGGTAGGGAAGATGAAAGAGGGACAAAGAGTACAGCTGACACAGACTCCAGAGATCTAAAGTGAAAGCAGGGTGCTTTGGTAGCCTTCAAGGAAGAGCACAGGGTCAACACTCAGCTCTGTCTGGCTCCCTTCCCTCTGCCCATCAGATGCACAGTGTAGACTCTATGGCTCTGGTTCTGTGTAATGCCAAGGGGCTAGTAGTTTTGGTCAGACCACTGGAGTTGTGCTGAGATCCATCCTCATGCTTCAAAGCCAAATCGTAGCTATTTAGAGAACATAGGAGCTTTGGGGCAGGCTTACCTTCTACAGTGGACACATTAGCTAACAGGTTGCACTGCAGCACCCTTAAGGACAAGGACACCATCACAATGTCACCATTCTTCTCCTATAGGAATAGTCAAATAAACACTCATCTTGGGTACTTGAACCACCACGAGTCTGCCCACCCCTATGGCCCATGTGAGTAAAGTGTTCAGCCCTGATTTGGTGAGGAAGGAGAAACTGCACCTCTCTAAGTTTGTGTGAACAGGGGAGTCTCAGCTCTGCCTGGGATAGAGGTGTTTTGAGGGATAGAGAAATATTTACCTAGAACTATCTCTCCCATACCCACTGAGTCCAAGAGTTCAAAGGTTGTGGGGCAGAAGATGTTCAGCCTGAGGGACCAGGAGCTCAAGTTTGAAACTCGTGTTTAGGTTCCAAGGCTGGGCAGAGTCTCACCAGAAGCTGCAGGATGTCATCAGGAACATTCTAAGTGTTGTTGCATACACCCCAGGCAGCTGAGTGGGAGCATATCACAGGTGCCTGTGACTCTTCTACGGCCTGCTGTGCCACAGCATTAGAGACAGGAGATAAGCCTACTTTCATGCCCAGGCATTTCATTTCTGTCACCACTTTCTGCAGGGACAGTGAAAGAGAAGGGTGTCAGGAATGCATATACATACATCTGCTGGGAGAGGCAGAGCGTGAGCATTTTTGTAGGGTGGAGTGGTGTCTTTACCTCTCCAAAACTAGTCAACCCATTGATGTTGTTGTAGAAGAGGTGTGTGGCCTTAGATGAACTCTTTGCCCTGAAGAATGGTGAGAAAGCTTGGTAGTCAGTCCCGCTAGGTGGCCTTGCCTAGGCCACAAGGGCCTAGAAGTCTTATCAAGCCCCCTCTGTAGCCCACAGAGCAAAAAGCAAGATGAACTGTGCCTCACAGAGAGATCCATGTTGCCCTGTGAATCCCAGAATACCAGCCCCTTTCCCAGTCCAGAGTCAGTGCCAGATTCTAGAGTTAAAGCTTCGTGTGGGCCCATGGTGTGACCTTGGACAGATCCCTGCCCTGGTGTGTCCACAACATCTGTACTTGCTCACCAGGATGTGCTGCAGATGGGCGTAAGTGTGAGGTAGCACACTCCCAGGACATAGAAGGCACGCAGGGCAAAGAGGCTGCTGTCCAGCAAGTGGCTGCCCTCCATGCCAAAGAGACAGGCCAATTTCTTGATGCTGTTCAGAGCTGGGAACAAACAGGTTAGATAAATACTTGATTGAGTCAGAGTAGCTCAGTCAAGTCCATCAATACACCTACCCTCTGGTGAGGTAACCAGCTCCAGCTCAGAGTAGGAGGCACACACGCAGTGAATGAGGTTGATCTGCTCCAGGAAAAGGTGCACAGCATCCGGGCTTTGGGTATGGTATGGGATGTGTAGGTCGACTAGAACTGAGGAGAAACTCAGGGGTTGGTCTGGCAAGGGCTGCTCTGGAACTCCTGGGGCCTCCACAGTCCCCACTGGGCCTCGAGACTGCATGTAATGCATTGCTTGTTCTGTAGTACTGTCCTGCCAACCAAGTGGCTCACAGCAGCCCTTGAAGCTGCTCCAGCATCTTTTTGGAGGATTGTTATTATGGTAAGTGAGTTCCCTCTGATTAACCCTGGATCCCTAGGTCCCCTTTTCTTCCCAACATCCCCCCAACAGCCATGCTGCAGCACCCTGTGTGTCCTTTTAGTACCTGAACACCCAGACAGCCTTCTCTAAGCCTGTCCAGGCTGGTCTGGCCAAAGCTCAAATTGCGCAGGTTAACATTCTGTAGTGAGTCCTGGTCAAACCGTCTCAGGACCGAGGGCAGGTCGTTGTGTCTGGGAGGATGTCAAGCAGGGTCAAGGACAAATGGGTGGGCCCTTCAGGCTTCCAGGTCAGGCAAGACATATTCCCCGGGGCTCCCACTCAGCACTGCCACCCAGACTACACTGAGATCCCCTGCGGCCTGGGATGGGAAGGGTTCCCACCAGAGAGCAGGGGGAGAGCAGGGGAAAGACACACGTGGATAATGGGAGGCAGGGCATCCGGGGTTGCTTGTACAGGAGCCTCCATGATACACGCTTGGAACCCTCTTCTGCCCAGAGATGCACCTACCCTCTATGTGCTTATGAGGCTCCTACCTACCCATCCACAGCGGGAAGCCTAGCATCAGGGCCCACGCGCGCTCTCACAGCCCCGGCCACTGTGAGTGAGCGGGGTGGTCTCAGAGTCAGGGCTGTCCGGTGTGATGCGGGTGCTGACGGTGACCCACGTGACGGGGCGCAGGTTACCGGCTGTAGCAGCCGCACTCTCAGGAACAGCGAACACAGCAGAGGCCACCGGCAGAGCGCGCGGGGACCCTCGAGGCCCATGGGCTCCATGTTGCGCAGGATCGTGGGGAAAGACAGGGGTGACGGTCGTGAGAGCCTGAGGGGGCTGAAGGTGACGATGGAGCCCCAACTCTCGATTCAAGCCCCTCAGCGGTGCTGCCTCATGAAGAGAGGTTGCTGTGGAGGGACCTGCGACCGCCACACTGAAGTGTCGCAAAGTCATGCAGCCGCAGCTGTCGCCAGGGGCGCTAAGGCCTCCCCGCCTCTCCTCCCAGAAGACGCCCGCCGGTCGGTGGCCAACGGAGCATTGGGTGGGCACCTTTGCCCCCGCCCCCCGCCAGTGCCCAGGCGAGAGAGGGCGGGTGGCTCTCCCAGAGAGCCCCTAGAGTGCTTCTCCCACTGCGTGGTCTCGACCTGAGGCCTTTGCAGGCCACATCAGTCCTCCGGTTCCTGCAGCCTACCCTCTGGCCTCTGAGGGCCACACGTATCTGTGAGACCTCAGTGCTCTGAATTCTGCGTTCTGTTTCTCGGAGCTGCCAGGTAGAGTGGGAGCAGGCTTTCTCTGGAAATGGGGAGTTCAGCTCCTAGACTTTGGATTCAGGAAGGGACCCTGAGACCCTGACTTTTCCCTTCCTTGTTTTATCGTGCCTCATGTCCATCTCGGGACTCTAGCCAGAGATGGACACGGGGACTGTCAGGGGGACCCTTGCTCATGAGTCCACATCAGCCTCAGGAAAAGGCTCCCTCAGAAGATGCTGTACCTGCCTAGGACTCACATGAAGGAACAGTCAGGATGAGAACTGGGGGAGCATCCAGAGCGGGCCAGGAAATGCTCACTTAGCAGAGCAGGAACTCCAACAGCTATTTGGGTGGAAAGAAAGGCAGTAATTTCCAGTGCAGCAGAGCCGGCACTCCAGCACCTTCCTCCAAGGGCTGAAAGCTGACCCAGTCGCTAGAATGTTCCTACCTTAATGTAGAAGCCAGGTCAGATGTATGGGTTTAAGGAAAAGCCTGGACCCAGGGTTCTGTAAGTACCTCTGCCTTATCTTGTGAATCTTGTGGCTTTAGCTCTTATGGTAACCCTTAGGGCTTGGCTCCCTTTCTTGCCTGGTAGGGCCCACCCCATTTTCCACCTGGGGCTCCCCCACTACCCCCCACCCCACCTCCAGTTTCTTAGGAACCCTCTAACACTTGCACTCATGCCCACATACAGGGGTATACATGCTGTCATTGAATTGCCACCAAGACACTTTGGGAGCAGTGCCCAAACTCATCCGGTGACTTTTTTTTATTTCCTGTTCTTGCTTCTCAGCATTTCAAGATTCTGCTCTGAATCCTGAAGCTGCAAGACCAGTGCATGAGGACTTGGAGAGGCAAGACAACCCTCTAAAAAGAAAATGAACAAACATTTCCAGACTGAAGTTTCCAAGCTATCCAGGAGGGTGGGTTTCCTGCATGGATGTATTTAGGAACCATGCATTTGTTGTTGCTAGTACCTCCTGTCCTGGAGAAAGGCAAATTGACAGAACTGTGCTAGGGGTAGGCCAGCTCCTTACCTACTACAGCTGGAGGATTCTCTAAGTAGGCCCATTGCAGAGAATGAGTGCCCCAGGAGCCTATTTCAGATAACACATGTCGCTGAGATGGGGTCTCCCTATGGAGTCCAAGCTGGCTATAAACTTACTATGTAGACCAGGCTGGCCTTGAACTCAAGGCAATTCTTCTGCCTCTGCCTCATGAGTGCTGGAATTACAGGCATGTACCACAACACCTGGCATTCCTAGGTGGTTTTTGCACCCAATATATCTGGCTCTCTTCCTTTCCACAACTGGTCAGCAACCCACACCATGTCTTAGCTGCTAAGTGACAGGAAGGAGGAGAAATTCTTGGATTTGCTGTTTTCTTGGATAAAGATATGGCTTTGGTGGTAAACAGTCTGTCTGTTCCATTCCTAATAGCCTGCAGGAAGTGGGGGTACAAAGAACAGGGAAGAGATAGACTGGAATAAACAAATAATAGCAGCTGATAGAGGGGTGGGTGGGAGAATTTAGTTTTGGATTTTTTGAGGCTTTTAAACTTTTCTCCATGATTTGGGGGAAACTCTAGCCCAATAGTGATATAGGCTATGTAGAAGATTAGTTGTGTGCAAGATGTGTGTGGTAGGCCGGGTGTGGTGGCTCATGCCTATAATCCCAGCACTCAGGAGGCTGAGGCAGGAGGATCATTGCGAGTTCAAGACCAGCCTAGGCTACAAAGTGAGCTCAAGGTCAACCTGAACTGCACAGTAAGACCCTGTCTCAAAAAGACAAAAAAAAAAAAAAAAAAAAAAAGATGTGTATGGTGATGCATGCTAGTAATTCCAGCTTTTTGGGAGGCTAAGGCAGAAGAATTGCAAGTTCAAGGGCTGCCTGAGCAACATAAAGACCCTAACGTAAGAAGGGCAAGGGATATAACTCAATGGTAGAGTTTTTGTCTAGTATATATGAAGCCTTGGGTTCAATTCCCAGCACTCAAGAAGACAAACAAAAAATAAAACCAAAAATCCCAAAACACAAAAGTGGCAAAACAGTTTTTCATAGCATCCATCTTCAGTCAAACATTGCCTTTGACATACAAAGCCAATCATAGAAACCAAACGCACTCAGACTCAGGGGCATCTAAACACTCATGCCAAGTGGTAAGCAGATTTTAGCCAACAAAGTGTGTTGTCTGCCTCATAACCTCACCCAAGGCCATCTCTGGCAGAGAACCTCAGGGCTTACTCAAGAGCTGACCTTCAGTGTTGTCTCTAGGTGCTGTTTCCCAACCTGCTCCCCTTCATGGCATTTCCAGTGCCTGTTGGCTCAACCTCACAGCATCTCTTGGGTCTCCTCTCTGTTCCTTCAGGCTTTTCTCTAGTAGAGGCTGCTTCCATCTCTCCTTTTCTCCTGATATCCCAGCCTCTAGACTCTCCCACAGAGAAGCCCTTCCCCTCCCCTCCCTCCCCTCCCTCCCCTCCCTCCCTTCCCCTCCCCTCCCCTCCCTCCCTTCCCTTCCCTTCCCTTCCCTTCCCTTCCCTTCCCTTTCCTTCCCTTCCCTTCCTCTTCCTTCTTTCTTCCCTCTCTCCTGTCTGTCTGTCTCTCTCTTTGGAAGCTAAATTCAAGACCTTCATACAGAGATACATACAATCCCCCCACCCCGCTTGTCATTTTTTGAGACAATGTCTTGTTAAATTGCTCATGCTGGGCTAAAAGTTGCAATTTTTCTGCTTCAGCCTCTCAGAGTGCTGAGATTATAGATGTGCTCTACCAAGTTTGGCTATACTTATTTTAAAAATTTTATATAAGACAAAAAACTGTATCAGAGGTGCAGAGGTAATTCAGTGGTAGAGTGAGTGCTTAGCATGTTTAAGGCCCTGGGCTCCATCTCATATCACCAAAACCCCAAACAGGATCATTTTCTTACCTGAGTTACTTATTTTATTTTCCAGTGTTCTCAGGATATACTAGTTTCTTTGTCTTTTAGTTGCTGAGGAGTCTGCTCCCATTAGCCTCTCCAATCTCATGAAATAGCACCAACTTCTTGCCCCTCTAAACTAGCAGCCTCATACCGCAGGGACTTGGCACATGTTATACCATCAGCTGCCAACTGGTGGGACTATTGAGTGGGACAGAACAAGAAATCTTGCCAACAAGGGGCAAATTCCTCCCAATTCCTCACCTATGTAGGTTGACACAAAACTAGACCTGCAGATGAGGCAGTGGGAGAAACAGAACCAAGGTTATTCCAGTGGTGGAGCTGACCCAGCCCTACTGATGTCCTGTACATGGCAAAAGTATGCAGGAAGGAAAATTCAGGCTGAGTTACAGGTGCGCGGGCCACCTCACATGCTCAGAGTGTGGGAATAGGTGCATGTGGGAGCTCGCTTGCTAGTCAGGGTTGCCCAGATGATGATCATTTCCATTTGGGGTCCTCATTCCTGGGGTCTCTCGCTGCCCATGCTTCTTTTGGAGTGTAGCTCTCGATCTGCTCCCATAATAATGAACACAGTCAAATTCCACCCCCCCCAAAAAAAACCCACAACAGTCTTGCAAGCCAGAAGATAGACAGCCTCTAATCACAAAGCAGAGGCCACCCATTATGCAGCACATAGATAAATAGCATATTTTTCTTCCTCCCAAGGCAGCAAATGTTTATTTTGCTAGAAGAAATACGATAACCACTAATGCACCTCCATCCTTTGCTTCCATTCAACCTTCTCTGCAATCTCCTGCGTTTTGTTCTGAACCCTGGCCAGCCTGTCTGTCCGGTGGCCCTGGGCTGCTGTTCAAAGGAGATGACTGGTGACTTGAGTCCCATCTGTACTGTTGAGTTCTTCTTGCAGCCAAGTACTGCTTGACTTCAGGCAGTAGAGAGGATCCAGCACGCAAGGTCCCTAGAGCAGAATCACATGTGCTGTCTGACAGGCTTGATGTGTTTATCTGAGCTGTTTCTGGAGACCAGATGTTCTGGTAATTTGCCCTGGCTCCATAGACTTGGAACCTTTGTCCTGAGATTGGTTTGAATCTTGACTTGTGTCCTTGGAGATAGTGCCATCAGCTGGGGGTGAAGGGAAGACTGGTTAGGGTGTAGAAACTGTCTGCAGTGAGACCCTCAAGGGTGTTCTTGAAACTGCACCCACCCAAACCCCCCACAGTTGTTATATCCAGATGTGTGGAGAAAGGCGCATAACGAATAGCTCTGCTAAATCCTAGCCCTGTCTGGTGACTTAGGTTCTCCATGAACAGAGCTATGAGGAAACTTTCTGCTCTCTCAGGATTTTTCTGGAACCTCCTTTTCCAATGGCCTGTGGTGATCACCCAATGCTGAGGTGGCAAATTAATTCTGTGAGGGCCAAGTCACTCTAGTCTCGCATCTGGCACTTACCTTGGTACACAGCAATCATGCAAATGACACTGATTGAACAGAGAGCGCACTTGGTACTCAGGAGACTGCTGTCTCCTCTTCCTTCATGGAGCAAGGACAAGCAGCAAGGGTGACTGCAGAGCCGTCCAGTGACTGTGTACTCAGAACTGTGCTACCACTTCCACATGTTTTAGGCCAGCCCACAAAGGGGAGATTTGTTTTGTTCTTTTCTCACCAGCCTCTCTTTCTAAGTGAGAAAACTGAGCTGTGTGGTAGGCAGATGACCACACTGATGCCCACCTGGCTGAGGCATATGGAGGTTTCTGAAATCCCTCCACTTTCAGCTACTGTCACCAAGAAGGTCCTCCAATGCCCTACACACATCCATTTGCCTAGACATCCTTGCTGGCCATGCGTTGGTGCCCAGTCTTTACTGGGTGTGGAGTGTGGTGACGAGACAAGGTTCCTGTGGCCACACACAAGCATGCAGAAAAGTGGCTGCAGAGATACCAGATTCTGGGAACCTCCCCTCCCCTTGATTTCATGGCCTCAAGGGCTGGCCCGCTTGTCTCAAG